CCACTTTTTTCAGTGATGTTGTAACTTTGAATGGTCACTAAATGCACTATCCTCAATTGAGGATTACCTGTAGCACTTTGTTTTACCATCTGGATCATAAAATGAGTTTTAGAAAACTATTTGGTGCCCATAGATTCTGAGCCACCTGTGCACCACAACAGGAAATAATTAAAATATAACATTTGATTGTGATTATTATTATTTTAAAAAATCTTGGGGTTTTTGTGTTGCGCAAACAATATGGCATCTACAAGTGCAAGACACACTATGCTTGGAAAACAACTGATGCAGTCGTATTAGCATCTGACAACCTTACTTTACTCTGAATTTAAGGGTCTTATCGTGGCTTCCTCTCTGCCGAGATCATGTGTTTAAATTTTTCTTCTCTCCCCCACTATATTGTCTTTCCAAGGTTCTGCCTGATGTATTAGCAATGCAAAATCTGTTTGCTAACCCAGATTAAATAAATACAAATGGGCTGAGCATGATGATGTACAGTCCTAGAGTTTAAATCACCTAAGTGAGAGCAGAGCTGTGGCCAGACAAATAAAATGGAGCTTGTTTTTACTGCTCCAATACAAATTTTTTTGGGGGGGAAAATAAACTGTGGGGTGTAAAAGAGGGGGCAGCAGGAGGAAGTAGAAACCTGTAAAATTAGCATTTAACTATGCCTGGACGGCAGTCCTAATTAAAACAGATTTTTTTTTTCAAAATTGGCAGAAAACATGCTGCAAAAAGTGGTATTCACCCTTCAGGGGCCCCCAGCATTTCCATACCAGACCAGGTGCTGGCGCCAAGGCTCTGCTCCTTCCCTCCTCCTTCATATGCCAGCTGGCTGGGTGGTCATGTGGGAAGCCCTAATCCTTGGAATCCTGGAATCCAGCCTCACCCAGATTTCCTGTAGCTGTTCTATAATCAGTAAGAGAAGACCAGATGGATTTGCTCAAGGCAAACCGAGGCATCTTTTTGTCCCTTTGAAACCATATTTGACCGTTCTGTTTCCTGTCCCTTGGTCAGCTTATCTTCCCCTCTCCTTCTTTTTGCACACTGCCAATTATGTCTCTGCATTAATTTATGCAGAGCAGAGGGGAAAGGGGCCCTCTCTCTTTCTCCCATTAGCCATTTTACCCCAGCTTTTATACTAGATAGAGATGGAAAAGAAAACATTAACTTTAAATGGACAATGGGCGGCTTTTTTATGGAAATCGTTCAGAAGCAGGCTGGATTAGATAAGGGATACTCAAATCATGTAGATTCCCATCTTCCATTTAAATTAGCCTTTTGTTCAGAAGTAGAAAGATAAGAATGTTTACCTTTGGAAGCAAAACTGCAGCAGCTTTGGCTCTCCAGCTGCTGCTGAAAAGACAATTTCCTGGATGCTTGGAAGTGGGCTTGCTGACTTGGCTCCCTAGCCACTGCATCCTATTTACCTGAAAAAAGAGATTTATTTTTTCTCAAAGAACTGATACTATAATCCAGAGGATTGCTTCAGAAAACTGGCTGGGTTGAGCTAAAAAAGGTCAAACTCTTTGTAGTTTTCAGTGTCACGTGGGATCAGTGGTGGGATTCAAATATGTGAACAACTGGTTCTCTGTGTGGATGCCGCTTCCGGAAGTCCATTCTGAGCCTGGGCAACAAAAAATTAGCTACCGATTCTGCCGAACTGGTGCAAACTGGCTGAATCCCACCACTGCATGGGATGTAATGCAAACAGAGTCATTGGGCCTTTTTAGCACAAATGAAGGTCTTAATATATTGTGGGAAGTGGGTATATAGGAAGGGAGTCTAAAAACCTCTCCATTTGGGGCTAGAAAAATCTGTACTATAAATGAAAAAAATGTGTCGGTATCTGTACTGCTCCCTTTGCTGCTATGTTGTTTTTAAAAGTTTTTAAGCTTGCTAGCCACCCAGAGTTGTTACAGTGAGATAGGTGGGGTATATAAATTGAATAAATAACTATAGCCCTTGACTTACAACCACAATTGAGCCCAACATTTATTTTCCTAAGTGCGAAATTTGTTAAGTGAGTTTTGCCCCGTTTTACAACTTTTCTTGCCACATTTGCTAAGTGAATCACTGCAGTTGTTAAATTAGTAACAGGGGTGTTAAATGAATCTGGCTTCCCCATCAACTTTGTTTGTCAGAAGGTCACAAAAGGGGATCTCATGACTCTGGGATACTGCAACCATCATAAATATGAACCAGTTTTCAAGCATCCAAATGTAAATCACATGACCACAGGGATGTTGCAATGGTCATAAGTATGAAAAATGGTCTTAAGTCACTTTTTTCATTGCCATTGTAACTTTGAACAATCCGTAAACAAACTGTTGTAAGTCGAGGACTATCTGTATTTTTTTTTGTATAGATTTTATTAGTTTTTATGGGGTTAGGAATAAGGTGCTTGGTAGAATAGATGCTTGGTAGTGTAACTACCTGTATTATAGGGTTATTTGGACTGCTGGTGTTCCAGTTTCTTGGAGGTTCCGGTGAATATTATAGACAAAATCAAATAGATATACTTCTAGGGTTCAGGCATAGTTAATGCTGCTGGATTCTTATAAATGCACATATAACTGTTAATTTGTTAGATCAAAGAGTAGGATTCCTAAAGAACAGAGAAGAGGCTACTTGCAACACAATAACTTTTCTACTCATTTGCCACTGTACTTTGCAAACTTTAGCCTAGATTTGTATTGGACTGGTATAGGGCCCATTGTTGTGTAATCTAGCCTAGGAAAAGAGCTTCTAGACTGTTCCTCAGTCTTGGCAGCTTTAAGACATATGGACTTCAGCCAGAGAGTGCAAAGGGATTCTTGGTGCACCCTTTAACTCAATGAGCTGTTTAAAGAAATGTTTTGGGCCACAGCACAAAGCAGGACAGGTGATATCAGATGCCTCACGACACAAACAACACCCATCAGTACATGTTGATTAGATGTGAGAAAAGAGGGATACCCTTAAAATATGTTGCATCCTCTCCTTGCTCATCAGAATTCACCTCTAAAGGTTGTTGTTGTGGGGAAAATAAGAGGAAGGAACATCAGGTATATTTGCTGCCTTGAGTTATTTATAAGTGTAATAAACTTGGGACAAAAATCTAATATATCAATATAGCACTGGCAATACTCAAGGACTTCAGAAGATCACCCAATTGTCTGAAATAATAGTTTTTGTGCCTTAATCAGAATTGAAGAAAATGGCTTTTGCTCAAAAAAACCCCATGGTTTCCAACTCTGGGTTTTCATGGGAGGGAAAGGAATGACTTAATGTCCTCATCCACATTAAATATGCCTCATATACATAATGACATCCTGAGACACCCGATGCTATCATGACTTGAACTGAAGAACAGACTGTTAGTTGGAAGGGACCTTAGAGGTCTTCTAGTCCAACCCCCTACTCAGGCAGGAAACCCTATACAAACGGTCGTCCAATCTCTTCTGGAAAACCTCCAGTATTGGAGTACCCACAACCATTGGCGGCAAGTCATTCCACTGATTGTTCTCACTGTCAAGAACTTTTTCCTCAGTTCTAGATTGGATGTCTATGGAGATTCTCAGTCATCCAGGTCAATTATTCCCAAAGGTGCTTTTTCACAAGGCAACTGGACTCTCTTCAGAGCTGAAGAAGCTTCTTGGATGAGAAGCGAAACGTCTTCAAAGAAAAACAAGACAGTTGCCTTGTGAAAAAGCACTTTTGGGATTCTAGATTAGATCTCTCTTTAATGATCTTCCACCTGCTACTTCTGTCTTCAGGTGCTTTGGAGAATGGGTTGTCCTCTTATTCTTTGTGGCAGCCCCCCAAATATTGGAAGACTGTTATCATGTCACCCCTAGTCCTTCTCTTTGTCAGACACACCTAGTTCTCTCAGCCATTCATCATAACATTTAGCTTCCAGATCCCTAATCATCTTTGTTGCTTTTCCCAGCACTTGAATCTCAACATCTTTTTTTATATTGTGGTGACCAGAACTGGACAGTATTCCAAGTGTGGTCTTATTAAAGCAGTATATAGCAGTATTAATACTTCAAAAGAACTTGATACTAATCCTGTTAATGCAGTCTAGGTTTGCATCAGCTTTTTTAGCAACTGCAACAGCTAGCAAGCCAGTTAACTTAGCTACAAGATTAGTGGCCAGCTGGGATGGGCTCTCAGGTGGCATATTAAGCCAAAATGAGCCAGGTGGGTTTCACCTGAGTGCCTTGAATTTGGCTGTTGGTTTTGGTCAGTGGTGGGATTCAGCCAGTTCGCACCAGTTCAAGAACTGGTAGCTAATTTTTTGTTGGCCAAGTCCATAATGGACTTCCGGAAGCAGCATCCACATGGAGAACCGGTTGTTCACATATTTGAATCCTACCACTGATTTTCGTTTGCAAATGTGGCCGTCACCACGACGCTATAAATCGCTCTCAACACACGACTGAAAGGATTGTCCTCCCTCCCCCACCATAAAATGCTTTAATGGCGCTTTAACAGTTTATAACGGTTTTTTATTGTTTCGTGTAGGTTGGTGAGGTGTCTTCACACTATGGATTGCGATATTAAGGGCCGCGAACCTCCTCCAAGATGGCGCTCGACTCCCGCCTTTCCCCTCCCCCACTCCAGTCGAAGCAGTTCTCTTTGTCTGCTGCGGCAAAGAGGCGCCGCATTGCTGACAAGGGCGGGAAAGTAGGTCGTTGGTGCCACGCCCACTTTTCTCCCGGCGACCAGGACTATCTGCTGCAGCTGTTGGGAAAGAAGATGTTAACTAATCAGCTTGCGAGAGGCGAATAGGGGCGGCTTGCTGCCCTTACCAACCTATCGCGCTAGTCTTCGTTCACCCAATCACATCTTTCTTTTTGTGACTCATGGTTTCACGTGACAGCTAACAGAAGTGGGGGCTTTTTTTTGCAGTGATTTTCACTACTCCACCTCTTTTTTTTCATTATGAATATTTAATCAGAAGCTAACCAATGGGAAGCTTTGATTCTGATTACCTCATGTCTGCGGAGCGAAGAGTTGAGGCCATTTTACAAAGCAAGTTGATCTGCATATTCATGAAGTAGGCGGTCCTCATAGAAGGTATATAAGGGGAAGCGCGCGCAAACCGCCCCGTAGTTCGCGTTGGGACTTCGAGGGCTGTACTTTGAGTTGTACCGTCGCTAAACTACACCGGTAAGGGGGTCGCGCGTGGTGGTCGTAAAGGAAAAGTGTACGAGAAAAGTGATGTAAATAGACGCGAAATGAAGTTGTAAAACAAATGTTAATATAAGTGGGGGCAGGTGGTCAACATAAATGTAAAATATAGGTAAGGTTATTTAAGTGCGAGATTTTTTTTAGCTGGTAGGGAGTTAGATGTGAACTGCGGAAAAGACAAAATGGTTTCCAACCGGCTTTTCGGACAAACCTCAAAATGGCGCCTGAAAGGAAGACGGATGGATAATGAAAGCGCATGCGCGGAACAACGGCCTGGGGAAAACGATGTTTTGTCTGCGCACGCGCTCCAGTTACCGCGCGCCCTCTTCTGGAGTAACTGGTTCCCGGCGCGCATGCGCGGAAATGATACCTTTGTAGGATACCTTTTTTATTTTTATCTAAATATACATAAAAATGAAATACGAAACCGGATTGTATGACGCACGACTATTATTGCACCTTTCACGTGGAATATTTCAATATATTGACAGTTGTATGTGTATTTTGTATCGATCGCCAATTTTATTTATAGACAAATAGCTTCATTTCCCCAAGTTTTAATGTTCTTTTTAACACGTTAGTGCATTGCAACTCTTAATAAATCGATCATCCGAGTACCTAAACTTAAAATAGGTATAGAACTACGTGTTTGCTTGTTTTTTAAAATCCAAAACAAGGAAAACAGGAATAAAAAAATACATGGTGTAGCTTGCCTCTCATTTTTCACAGAACATTTATATTTTTAGTATTTGCTTATCCACGATTTTAAATACAAATCATTCAGTTGCTGAAGATAATAGGAATTGTTATTTTTGTATGAATCTGAGCAAAACTTGAATCTTTGATTTAACCGAAAATGGAACGGTGTTTACTGGGCTTTGATTTCAAAGCAATATGCTTTTGGTATGCCTGTCCCTTGGTGAATACTAAAATTGACTTTGATTTCTTTTACAGAAAAGAAATGGCATCCGATGAGGGAAAATTATTTGTTGGTGGACTCAGTTTTGACACCAATGAACAATCACTCGAGCAAGTTTTTTCTAAATACGGACAGATATCTGAAGGTAAAAAAAAAGCTCCAATCTCTTCTTATTTATACTACTGGAAGTTTATAGCAGATGGTTTCTCTTTTGAGAATACAAGAGTCCCTGCAGAAATTGTTTTTATGGTGGTATTTGCCACATGGAATTTTTATGAAAATAAAATTAAACACTTTAAACCATCTTCTCTTCCCTATAGTTGTTGTTGTAAAAGACAGAGAAACCCAGAGATCCAGAGGGTTTGGCTTTGTAACTTTTGAGAACATTGATGATGCAAAAGATGCGATGATGGCCATGAATGGAAAGGTGAGGAATTCTTACTCTCACTTTAACAAACAAGGGATATAACATGTTGTTTGATGAATAGATCCATAGACTTCGTGATTAGTTAATATTTCATATTTAATATTGATAAAAACCGCTGTTTACCACATAGGTAATTTTTGTAAACACAGCAGGACTGTTTCATAATCATTGCCATTTGATATCAAAACTAGTATTAGTAAAAGATTATTATTAAACCTTCTGCATAAGAGACTTATGAAGCACTCTCTTAATTTGAAGTTTAATTTTTTTTAGTCTGTTGATGGCCGCCAGATCAGAGTTGATCAAGCAGGCAAGTCCTCTGATAATCGGTCTCGTGGATATAGAGGGGGATCAGCTGGAGGCAGAGGCTTTTTCCGTGGAGGCCGAGGTAGAGGTCGTGGATTCTCCAGAGGTGAGGTTCCCTTTTCCAGTAATTTGTAGCATCTGTTTGGAGGTGGTTGAATTTATTTCAACATTTGCATTGTTCTCTCTTCCAGGTACTGGAGACAGAGGTTATGGGGGCAGCAGATTTGAATCTAGAAGTGGGGGATACAGTGGATCCAGAGACTATTATGGAAGCAGGTATGTGCAAGCAAGACACCTGACAAGTGAGATGCAATGTAATGTGGAATCCTGTGTGCTTTGTAGTTACTGATACGCTTAGTTGAACCTGTTGCCTTGTTTTCTGTCTTTCTTAGCAGAAGTCAAGGAAGTTATGGAGACAGGCCTTCAGGAGGATCCTATAGAGACAGTTATGACAGTTACGGTAAGTGTGAAATCGTGAGGGAAGGCGGATGTGCTGACATGGGAATGTATGGAGCCACTCTTGATCTTGCAGTGACCACCTTGGAAATACTTTAAGGTTTGCTTGGAGCTTTTGCTGGCAGCCTATCTCTGCCTGTGAGAGGCGCCACTCCTTTGGCAGGCCCTAAGCACTTGTGCCACGGAAAAGCAAAAAACTTCATTAATGCATGTGTAGCTCTAGTTGGATCCAAAGGCAAAGCATCCATACCTAGTTTTCTGAAGCTGAAAAGAACACCCAGAGTCCTCAAGGCCAGAAGGAAAAAGAATACAAAATGGGTGGGACAAGAGATAGCAAGCTAGTGTTTGAAGTGCTTGGCAAACAAGTAGGGGAGGAAAAATTGCTGGAACTTGTCTGTGCTTCAGTGCCTTTACAACTCTGCCTGCTTCTTGTCCTCAGCTACACACAACGAATAAAAAACCTTCCTGGCTCAAGATCGTCCTTCCATTGGCTGTATTTATAAAGATTTTTGGAGCTTCGCTGAAATCGTTCTTGTGTAGTCATCTCCTTTGTATTCTTACTTTTGTAGTAAACTCGCAATTCTGATCTTGTCAATAACACAGCCTTGACAGCTTCTAATATGTAATGGTCTGTTCAGACTCAAAGAAAGCGCTGGGTTTTTCTCGAGTGTTTTAATTTTTTTTTAAAACACTTAAGATTTTAGTTCATTTGTGAGCAAAGGCGTGTATATGTGTTTTAGGGGTTTTTTATGTTTTGTTTTTTTTTAAAAAAAAAAAAAGACCGGAAGGTTTGGGGCCCCGTATTTGTTTTTCTTTTGAGCAAGAAAGGACCTTAATTGTTCAGTAGAAGCTGAGCAAGCTGTGAACTTTTTTTTTTGTTAAGTGCATCGTTTTGTTAAAAAATTTAATCAACCTTTAGTGTATCGAGGTACTGTAGCCTGGGTATGAATTTTAAAAGGCAGCCTACCTTGATATATCTAAAGAAATACTTTTGCTTGTATGTTCAGCCTGCATTAAGAGACTTTAACTTGTATGCCATAAAATTTAACCCAGAGAGAGACTGCAGATTTTACCACCCAAAGGGTTCATGGAAAAAATGTTTGTTTCTATTGTCCTTTTTTTACTGAAAGAAAGTATGCCTAATTCAATTGTTGTAACTTTGAAGTGGTGAAAAAGGATTTCTTGTACAGTTTACTTTGGCTTCACGAAGCCTATTAAAAGTCCATCTGAAAAAAAAAATTGCTTGAAATCTTACATCTTGCTGCACAACACGAGTCTGGATGAACGTGAAACTGTACAATTAGATAGGAACGAAAGTAGTAAGTGAAAGGCTATAACTGAGGGAGAGAACCAGGCCCCAGATTTCTTAGAAACAAAAACGTAAACAATGCTGTAATTTATCAGGCCTCATGACATCAATCAAGCAGTTTGAGAATGATTGAAAACAAAGGTGTACTGGAAGGACATCACAAATAATTTTGCTCCTAAAGCAATCACTTAGCTTTGGCTGGAATTGCTCCAAACTTTGAAGGAAATTAATTTCACTCATTGTTATTTAATATGCTGTTAGCAAAGTGTTAGGTTAAATAAGACCGATAGCTCCATACTAACTAAAACAAACTAGCCTATTAACTGAGAACCAGCCAAACATTTAGCTAGCCCATAATGGAGTCTCTTGTTAACTGGGTCAGCTGCCACTAGTCCAACAGTGTTCCAAGGCCAATAATTGTGACCTAATTTAGCTAGCTTTGTCGTTGCCTTTTAAGTTCTAAGAATTTTCTGCTAGCATATGGAAAACTGCAGTGCCTTGGCGAAAAAGAAGTGTTGTGCCTCCAACAGAGAGAACCTCTGAGACGAAAGCTGCTCTCTTGGCTAGTTCATATGTGGGGATAGTCCTGTAATTCGAGGTAACTCTTTTCCTCATGTCCGCATCCTTCCTCCTGTTGAGAGCTCATATATATATATATATATATAATTTATTTTTTGGAAAGTCTTAACCTATGTGAACTGAATTTTTTTCTGCCAACCTTGTTCAGGCTAAAGCATTTTTTTAAATTTTTAAAAATTCTTCCTTACCAATGAGTCTTTGACTTTTATGGCATAACTTTGTTGTGTGGGCAGAAGTGCAGCCATCTCTTTTGCCAGTAGGATTAGATGAAAGATGGGGAGCTGATTTCTGCTCATCTCCGAAGATATCTTAAGACTTAAGTCACGTAACCATAATGATGTTTTGCCATCTTGTTTGCATTTTAACTTTTTCCCCATAGCCCACACTGTTCCTAAGCAGCAGCCATTATCCACCGTGACTAACTGCTTTTTGAGGGATCAGGTGCCATTGGCCGGTCCGAGGGAAGCGTCTTGGAACAGTTGGCCCAAGCTGGGCTCTTGAGTTACCTTTGTGGAAACCTTTTGTAGGAAACACTGCTTGTCTTGTTGAAGGGTGGGCAGGGTAGAAATTTTGTAGCATTTGCTCTGGATAACAATATTTTGTAACACAAGTTTGTCTTGACAGGTTGATGGAAGAGATGGACACTTGAGTCGGAAATGGATGTTTCAACGCTGAGGACCAAAGTCTTAACTGAAACCATCAGCTTTGCACACACAGGTATCGGTCCTCTGCGAGGTTTCTGTGCCGCCTCGGTTGCTATGGCAGGAATCTTATGGAAGTGGCTGCTTTTATAGCTACCTGACTTGGCTACCTTTAAAAGAAGGCCTCTTTAAAATTTCAATTTCAAAGCAAAATTCATTGAATTTTTAACAATAATGTTAGAATCGGATTTTAATACTTTTTTGCTCTTATCTTTCAGCTGCATGTTTCTTGGAAGAGGATTGACAAGGATCATGGCAATTCTGAAGGAAAACAGGATTGTGAATTAGAATGCTCTGAATGACCCGAGAACATGTACAAAACTTAATAAAACAATAGGGCTAAAGACATGGGTAGTGTGAATGTGTATACCTTAAAATAGTAATTGTGAGGATAACACTTGAGGAAATGCAATTCTCTACCGCCCTTTTGCTTGCGTGAAAGCCAGATGGGTAACTCATTTCTTCAGTTCAATCCACCTCGCCACCTAGGGTGGTTGTGGGAGAAATAGGAACATGTTTGGCACTTAAAATTATTTATAAAGGTGGGGTTTTTTTTAAATCAAATATTTGATACTGAATAGAAATTTGAACGTATCTTTCCTATCCATTCATTGATTGGGGAGAGCAAACAAGTCCCACAAGTGTCCTTTTCTTAGAGTTGACAATCTCCCACACGAGACTTGGCACACTGCAGTTAGCCCATTTTACCAGTAATAAACAACTTTTCCCCCTATAGTTTAACATAAGCTAATGTTATTGAAAGCTGCTACTTTTAATACAGAATTAAGTCAAAGTGTTCTTGGTTTAGTTTATAACCTGTCTAGTACATTAAATTGAAGTTACTTCTCATTGCTTATTTCTGCAGAAGAGTTAAGCATTCTCCAATTTACAGAGTTCAGCTTCTTTTAAAAAATCCATGTCCAAGTCATTCCTCCTCACATTTCAAGATTGCAGAAAGCCATCTCTCATTCTGTTTGTGGAAACCCACAATAAGACAATACTGTTCAGCAAAGACTTCGGGATGTGGGCTTTGAAAGGAGACGATCTCCATTGCCCCCTCCCTGAACAGGTTTAACCACTTGGCAGCATGTGAAATCACCTACAGTCAGGTCCAGAAATATTGGGACAGTGACACAATTTGAACATCTTTGGCTCTACGCCACCACAATGGAGTTGGAATGAAACAAACACAATGTGCTTTAACTGCAGACTGTCAGCTTTAATTTGAGGGTATGTACATCCAACTCAGGTGAACGGGGTAGGACTTACAGCAGTTTGCATATGTGCCTCCCACTTGTTAAGGGACCAAAGATAATGGGACAGAATAATCATAAATCAAACTTTCCCTTCTTAATACTTGGTTGCAAATCCTTTGCAGTCAATCACAGCCTGAAGTTTGGAACACAGACGTCACCAGACGCTGGGTTTCATCACTGGTGATGCTCTGCCAGGCTCTACTGCAACTGTCTTCAGTTCCTGCTTGTTCTTGGGGCATTTTGTCTTCAGCAAGTGAAATGCATGCTCAATGGGATTCAGGTCAGGTGGTTGACTTGGCCATTGCATAACATTCCACTTCTGTCCCTTCACAAACTCTTTGGTTGCTTTTGCAGTATGCTTTGGGTCATTGCCCATCTGCACTGTGAAGTGCTGGATGGTCCTTTTATTTTTTCGCTTCTAAATGTGAAATTCCCTGCATGTTGAAAAATCTCCCCATTCTCAATTCTGCAGAATTCCTTTTTTTAAAAATAAACCATCTCAGATTTCCTGTAGGACAGATGTTAGGGGGATTACTGGGGATGGTGTTAAAATACCTAGAGGGAGTTTGGGGCTTAAAGCCAAATCTACTGTAAACATGCATTGCCCTATATTTTTTAGCCTGCTGATTATTTAGCCCACCTAAATCCTAACAAAAAACATTTGCTATTTTTTTCTGCAAGTTTCTTAATTCTCTGAAAAAGCTTTTTTGTGTGCAGCTTATCCATGGAAGTTTTTCCCATTTAGTACATGTTTCCAGAGATGACTGACAAGGGGATAAAGCCCTTTAGTAGAGTCTCCCATTCCAATGTGGTTCTTGGATGCTGATCTGTATGATTCCTGCAGCCAATGATGTGGGTTCCTCCAACTGATTGTAGTGCCCCTGAGTATTTCAGTCAAGAGGCACATTTGAGTAGGTTGACACATTTTCATAAATAACTGCAGGTGTGTACATGGTCACAAAAACACATTTACGATGAGACCAATGAGTGAGTTCTCTACCGCTTTGGTTTTTCTCCCTTTTTCTGGATAGGTGGGCTGGACCTGTGTCCAAATTCATCTTATTGTACCAATTCTAATTTTCTACTAGTGCTTTGGAGCCCAGAAGCCTCTTTAAGCCTTCAACTCCCATGGCAGATTGGAGAATTCTGGGAATTGAAGTCCGTGCCTCTTAAAGTTGCTGAGTTTGAGATTCGCTGCTGTGGATTAATGTATTGCTTTTTAAGTTGAAGGAATCAAACATGGAGCAGAAGGGAGAGTGGTCCAAGGACTTTTTGCAATCCATGGTGACTTTATTGGGCAAAATGCAGTTTTCCAAACTGAGTAAGACAGTTTGTATGTAACTGCATGTGATTAGCAGAAGTGGATTACTCCACTGGATCTCGCACCTCTGTCCTGCAGCTACATCTAAGAAGGAATTCACTCTTTTCACCAGATTTGCATGTAAACTCATGTTCTCCCTTTTTTCTTAGACCAAAGGCTAGATGCAGATAATCCTTGAGTTATGACTGTAATGGAGTCTGTCCATCGTAATAAATTGGGCGATCCATGTGATTGATCCAATTTTCTAAACATTTTTTGCAGCAGTTGTTAAGCAAATCACTGGTGGTTAAGCAAAGCGATGATTTTACTGGGTATTTTCGGCAAAAACTAGTCATAAAATACAGGATGCTACAAACGGCCGTAAATGGGTTCAAGTTGCCGAGCAGTCGGTCGTGTGGCCATGGGAGGGGGCCACTGTCAAACTTCAATTCTGGGTCAAGTCTCCTTGTGATGGTGTGTGTTGCCACTTTAAATAGTCGCTAAGCGGCTGGTTGTAAACCAAGAATAATCGTAGTTCGAATATAGCTAGGCCTCGACTTCCAGTAGTTCGTTTAGTGACCATTCGAAGTCACAGCGGGGCACTGAAAAAGGACTTACGACCGTTTCTCACACTTAACAATGTTTGCAGCATCCTCAGGGCCACGTGATCAAAATTCAAACACTTGGCAACTGACTCATCTTTATGACCATTGCAGCATCCCGTGTAACGATCCCCTTTTGCGATCTGACAAGCAAACGTCAATGACAAAACCGTATTCACTTAACAGCCATGTTCCTAGCTAAACAACTGCAGCCGTTTCCTTAACAACTGTGGCAGGGAAGGTCATTAAATGGGGCAAAACTCCACTTAACAAATGTCTCGCAAGAGAAATGTTGTGGTTGTAAGTCGACTAACCGGAGTCTTCCTGCCTTAAGAGTACAAAGCACACCGATTAAAGTAGATACTTCTCCTACCCAGCAGAGGGCGCTGTCTAGCAAGAGATTCCCCTCTCTCCATTTCCGTTCAGAAAGACCAGATGCTTAGAGAATCCGAATTAATGAGAGACTAATTCACCCCTCTGTGTGCTGAGTGTGAGAGATGAGCTGCAAATTATTCCCGCACCAGGCGAAACGGAGGAGTGGCTTGTGCCTCACTAGCAGAGGCTTTACCGTTTGCAGCTGGCCAGGTTCAGCTTCAGCAGATAGTTTTCCAGCTTTTTGTTAAGGCGACAACATGGCCTAACCGTAGCCGCCATTTTCAAGAGAGAGATTTAAACACCAAAGGTCTCTTCTTCCGGATCAGAGCTGAACTCCTGGTGTTGGCATTCCCACCTCTTGTGTCTCCCAGCTTTGGTTCCTGCCTGCATTTGGGAAGTCTAAGTAAGCTCATTTTCTTTTCCTAGCTAGATGCAGGGTTTCCCAACCTTGGCAACCTTTTTAAGATGTGTGGACTTCCAACTCCCAGAATGCTGGCTGGGGAATTCTGGGAGTTGAAAAATCCACACATCTTCAAGCAGCCAAGGTTGAGGAAGGCTGCCGTAGGAGCTATTCTAAGCACGGAATTTCCCTTTCAGCAACGTGTGTTTTGCTGAATCTGTTCCACGACTTTCCTTTGGGACCGCTGCATCTTCTATTTTTGCCCATTGAAAAAAAAAACAAGCGTATTTTCCATCCTGCCTCCCTCCCCAGTATTCAAAGGGTGCCGCAGAGGCAGCGAATGGAAATTCTGTGGAAATTCTGACAATCGACAGAGGGCTTCTGAGCCCTTGCAGATTCGTCTCCCAGATGGAGAGAATGTCTGTTCTTTATTCTTTATTCAGGGCCAATGGGATTATTCGGGTCCCTGCTTGCAAGTGTCAACCCCAGAGACTGTCAGTTGAGAAGGGATCGGATTAATCAGCATTGATTAAATCGTGTCCACCTCCTCCACAGTCTTTCACTAAGGAGCGCCACAAAAACAGCAGAAATGTGGTTGCTATTTATTACCGCTCGTCCTCGACTTTACGCTGACAACAGTGCAAAATTTGTTGCTAAGCGAAAACATTTCAGTGAGTTTTGCCCCGTTTTACAACCATTCTTGCTGCAGTTCTTAAGTGAATCACTGCCGTTTTTAAGCTAGCAACACGGTTGTTAAGTGAATCTGGCTTCCCCCATTGACTTTGCTTGTAAGAATATTGCAAAAGGGGATCACGTGACCCCAGGACACGGCAACTGTCATAAATATGAGTCGGTTGCCAAGCGTCCGAATTTTGATCACATGACTATGGGGATGCTGCAATGGTTGTCAGTGAAAAACAGTCATAAGTCACTTTTTTCAGTGCCGTTGCAACTTGGAAGGGTGACTAAACGAACTGTTGTAAATTGAACACTTCCTGTTTATTACATTTACCTGCCACCTATCTTGTTTCCTTCCCGATTATTAAATTTATTTGCCATCCATCTCATTTCAAAGTAATTCTGGGCGGGTTACAGCATAAGCTGTGTGAATAAATGCTTTCATAGCTTTTCTCCACAAGCTGCACATTAAAAAAAGATATTAATGGGGAGAGGTGTTGTCTGCTCACAATGGCAAGATGCAGATTAACGTCAAAGAGAAATAAAACGAATCTTGGCATGTTTGGGCATTTCTCGAGGAATGCAGACGATCAAAATATTTTTAAAACTTTTGCAAAGAGTAGAGGGGACTCAAAACTCAAGACTGGGTCTCCTGACTCCATGCAGATTAAGTAAAGAAAAATAAAATGAGGAAGGAGGCATGGATTGGTAAATTTACGCTTCAGCAGGTTCTGCAACAAGCAGGGGGTTGGATTAGATGACCTCTGAGGTGCCTTCCACCTCTGTCTCTGAATCAGGACAAAATGTTTGGGTCTGACAGCTTTCCATCTGCTTTTTAGTCAACAATAATGTAAAGCAAGAATGATACTGGCCTACCTTCCAAGGCTTGTTGTTAACTGACATTCAAGAGAGAATTCTAATTGACCCACAATAGCTTTTATTTTTTTATTTGTATCCTGTTTTTATTATTTTTACTAATAACTCAAGGTGGCAAACATATCCAACACATCTTCCTTCTATTTTTTCCCCACAACGACAACCCCAGGAGGTGGGCTAGGCTGAGAGAGATAAATTGACTGGTTCTTAGCTTCAATAGCTTGATACAGCCTTCATTTTCCGAGGTACTGATCAGTAACAAATGCTAGGGACTAGTAACTCGATTGATCCCTCAATCGTATGCCTGTATGCTATTTTCCAGAAGATTACAGATCAACTGTGCCGATAGTTGTTGCCCCATTTAACCTTGTTCGAAAGATCACTGGATGAAGCCTTTGTATGCTCTCCCTGTCTCTGAGAATATCTGTTTTAACGGAATAATTCACTTGATATCCTCAGTTTGGTGTCTAAAGCCTCTCTAGCAGCTGGCACCCAGTTAATTTTGATTGATCTTGCAGCAAAAATGAATTGAAATTAGCATTAGGATAGGAGGCCACCAGGAAATGCATGCATGTATGTAAGGCTTAGAAGTTAAAAAGAACATAATTTGGGAAGAAAGGAGAGGCAACCATTTTCATGTTTTCTCTCTGGGGGAGTCTGCACCTACAATAACAAAATTATTCATTTGTGTATCAACCGTGCTAAGAACTTGCCACAACTGCAAATTAATGACAGCTGTATAAAACCCCTGTTTAGTTGATCTCCTCAGAGGGAGATCCAATCAGGAAATAAAGAGGAATTTCCTGACAGCAAGAATTATTAAGCCGGGGGTCTTCAAACTTGGCCCTTTTATGACTTGTGGACTTCAACTCCCAGGCTGGCTGAGGAATTCTGGGAGTTGAAGTCCACAAGTCATAAAAGGGCCAAGTTTGAAGACTCCTGTATTAAGCAGTGGAACAGCAGGAGTTGTGAAGGTTTCAAGAAAAGATTAGGCAACCATTTGTCCAGATTTGAGAACTCCTGCCTTAAGCAGGGGTTAGACTAGAAGACCTCTAATTCTGATTCTATGGGTCTAAACCAGCGGTCTGATTCTATGGGTCTAAACCAGGGGTCTTCAAACTTGGCCCTTTTATGACTTGTGGACTTCAATTCCTAGAATTCCTCAGCCAGGCATGCCTGGCTGAGGAATTCTGGGAGTTGAAGTCCACAAGTCATAAAAGGGCCAAGTTTGAAGACCCCTGGTCTAAACTTTCTAACCAAAGGGTAATCTATGTTTACCCATTCTAATTGTCAGTTTAAGACAGTGGTTCTCAACCTGTGGGTCGGGACCCCATTTGGGGTCGAATGACCATTTTACGGGGGTCGCCAAACAACACAGTCCGCCATTTTTCCCCCCTTTTCCTTAGCTGTGCTACTACCTTTTATTCTATTGGCTTTTGAAAGCCAATAGAATAGACTCTCTTGAATAGAGTCTAATTCTATTGGCTTTCAAAAGCCAATAGGAATTGTCCAGGCTGTCTCTGCCCTGCTGAGCCCGCCAAAAGTCCCATTCTGCAAACTGCTGCACCAGTTGAGTAGTCCTCGACTTATGACCGGTTGAGTAGTCCTTGACTTATGACCAGTTGGGGGTTACGGCATTAAAAAGGTTGAGAACCACTGGTTTAGGACCAAACTTGTTGGTGCAAAACATCCACCGGTCAGTAGATGGCACCCAAGAGAAGACTGAAACTCTCCCCTGCCACCCGGTGGCAGAGCCCATTTTTGCAGATTGAGGATCATAAAAACAAACAGCCACCGTTAATACACTTCGTTGCAACTTCAGCACCCTTGATTCTTTCTACAATCTACACCAGGGGTCTTCAAACCTGGCCCTTTTATGACTTGTGGACGTCAACTCCCAGAATCCCTCAGCCAGGCACACGTACCTGGCTGAGGAATTCTGGGACTTGACGTCCACAAGTCATAAAAGGGCCAGGTTTGAAGACCCCTTGATCTACACGCTGCTCTTCGGGAGCTGGCCTTTTGAATCCAATCGTATTTTAATGTAAGAAAAGTCGATCTGGCTAACGCTGTGCTGGGATCCAGCTCGCCCCGTTTGCCTAGGAAGCGGTAACACGGATCGGAGCCCCCTGAAAGTCGGCAGCCCTTCCTGGAAATCGGAGATTTTAACACAATCACAACACTGGCCATTTTCAAAAAAAAAAAAAAAAAATCACTTTACATAACCCCTTACACCGCCCTCTCCTCATTTAAATTCCGTCCGGGCCTGGTCCAATCAGAAACGGCTCACCGTCTCTGAATGGCACACCCGCCCCCGCGCGCCGCTCCCTCCCTCCCTCTCCCTCCCTCCCCCCCCGCGCCTCTAGCTGTTGTATGAAATTGTGGTCACGTGGCTCCCCCTCCGCGTTCTGAAGTGGGTGGGTCCCCGTTCATTCATAAATCCTCGGCCCCTCTTAAATCAAAATTAAGGTGTTAAAGAGAGACGGAAAGGGGGACTTCCTTTCCCCAAGACATAAAAAAAAAAAATTGCAACCTCCGCCGCTTCGCTTTTTTTTTTTTTTTTTTTTACCAGACAGGGATCCATGAATTCGAATTAGGTGAGTCATTATTATTTTTCCCCTTCCCTTCCTTATAGCTTGTCTTTTTTTTCTTTTTCTTTTTCTTTTAAACAAGGGGTGGTAGTGGTGGTGTCCAAACCCGATTCTTGCAAATAACGATCTTCCTCTCTTCCTTCTCTCTTGGCTGCTTTTCTCGGTCTCTTTTTGGCGAGGGGGGGGGGCGGCGGACGGAAGGGCTGTCATTTGTCTTCCTTTTTAAAATAAAAATAATAATAATAATAATAGGTAGGGCGAGAGAGAAAAAGGATTTCTTGCACATAAGAAATCCACCCTAATGGATCGGGGAAAGGCGACGGGGAGGGGGGCTGTCCTCATGTTTCTTGGATTTTTTTGTAAAAAGAACTGCTTTCCTTGCATTTCCTTCGCTTGTTTGTTTCATGCGGGGGGGGGAGAAAGACAGATCTGGAGCTTGTAGGAAACGGTGTGGCTGGAATTGGGCGGGGGGGGGCGGTATATCTGTGTATAATTTGGCGGGGGGGGGAGGAGAGCTCCTTCTCTGTTGCTCGCTCCTCTTCTTCTGTCTCCTTCTGCCGGGGGTGGGGTGGGGGGAAGCGTACGACCCCCTCTTATTTTTATCTATCCGTTTTCTACCTTGCGATCTCCTTCGCCCCCCCCTTCTCTTCCCCCCCCCTCTGGGGTCCAATTAGGTTAGGAGGAGAGTCCGTAGGCTAAATTGCATCTGGGGTCCCTCTTCCGAGGGGGGGGGGGACGCGCTGAAACGGATGAATAATCTACATTGGGCGGGTTAACCTGTTCCAGGCAATGCCAGCCGGCGGGGGGGGGGGTGGCAAGGGAGATTGAGACGCGGGTCCGTGCAGTGGATGATTCCCTTTCCCACAGTAATGTTAACACCGGTCCGGGAAAGCATTAGCGCGCCTTCGGACTTGGGATCGAGCTGGGCTTGGTTATATAGTCCTTTCCCCCCCCCCCCGCCTTTGGCTGGGCTGGAGAAAGCGAATTGACGCTTCCGTGTATGAAATGAAGTAATTCACCGATCCGGGCTCCGGTGTGGACTCAGCCACGATCGGATTTCTGTATATTCCGTCCCTCTCCCGGACAGGGATGGGATGGGATGGGGACGACTTCTGGGGTCGAAATTGCAGCTGCTGTGGGCGGCAGCTGTCCTGGGGCTGGGCTCTTAGGCGTGTTTACTCCAAAGGAAGCCTGGTACGATGGAACCGGGTAGCACAGAGCGACGGTGGGGAGAGAGAAAAGGGAAACTCGGTTTAAAGAGGGTGATCTTGGGGTTTGCTCACTTCCAAGCCCGCAGGATCGGCAATTCGGTCAAACCCCAGCTGGGGAGGTTTCTCTCCCTTCCTCCCCCCCCCCCCAAATTCCCCCATTCCTCCTGAGAGCTTGTAATTGCTTTTAGTCGAGCATTTAAATAGCTGTAAAAAATATCCTGCTAACAATTCTCTTTTTGTTGCTGGTAAAAATCATACACACAGAGGCAACACACACACACACACATTTTGACTGCTCCATTTGTGCATCTACTGCAGTGTTTCTCAACCTTGACAATTTTAAGGCATGTGGACTTCAACTCCCAGAATTCCACAGCCAGCATTGCTGGCTGTGGAATTCTGGGAGTTGAAGTCCACATGCCTTAAAATTGTCAAGGTTGAGAAACACTGATCTACTGTGAAGTGAACAGGAATGGAGGCTCCCTGAAAAAAAAAAAAAACCCACAGATTTGGAATCCCCTTTTTTGCAGCCCCAAAGAGTCTTAAAAACTCATCCATCCTTCCCCTCTTCGTTCTTTACATTCCTTTATTTTTCATGTGAAGTCTCTCTTTTATTCTGCTGGTCGTCTTCCTGGGCTGCCTTGAGCCCCCCCCCCCAAGTTAGAAATTTTAATAATTTTAATCAGGCATGATTAGGCATGCTTTAGCCAATTCTCTCCCAACGGAGACATGGCTCTTGAGCTTCTGTAGGCAAGGGCAGTCTACCTCCCAGCACCAGAGTCCTGGGTAATGAGCAATAGGGGGACATAGAAACTATATTCATGTAGGCTTTCTAAAGCTGTCTAGCTCTGATGAAATAAGATGTGACGAAGCTTATATGCCATATAATGGGCTTTCTCCAATGGCTGCGTTGAGTCATTTACAAAACCATATTATTATTTTTTTAAAGGGGGCGTTCTGTTTAGAAACAGCCTCCCTGCTTCTCCTGAGCAGATTCTGCCTTAAAGGACCCTCTTCTCCCCTGAGTCTTGCCTGCAGAACTCACTATTCCTTTGACTACTTGGGTTCACACAACCTCTGGAAAACCGTCTTTACCATCTTATACCCCAAGGATAAATGCTTTCCAGCTGTCGCAGGCTGGCCTGCTTCAGGGAGTGTGCTGAATCCAAGCCCCCTGCCTCCTTGGAGCCTCACCAAGGTGGTTGTGTGAATGGAGCCGCAGAGGCACTGGCTGTTCTTCCCTGCCACCATCTGCTGCCATTTTTTTTTTACCTTCCCTGGAGAGGCAGAATCGCTGGTGGGAACAGGGGTGTTAGAATCCTGTTTCTCCCCTGCTTCTCAATTGCACATCACCATGGAAGTGAAATGCTTCTATTCTGCTCTTCACCGTCCCTCTGTGGATAAGGCTGGGGTGGTGAGGAAAGGATGCCTCTCCCTGCCATTCTGGGCCTTAAAAAAAAAAAATTCCTTTCAAAATGCTTTAATTCCCCATGGCAGAAAGTCCCATTTATTTGGAATTGGCGGAGGGATGCAAAGCAGATAAACGTAATAAATAAAATACAGCTACCCCTGTGCAGTTGCCTTGCATAGAATCCCTCAGAGGAGGGACCTCTTGAGATCATCCAGTCTAGCCCCATGCTTAGTCAAAGGAAAAACATCCCCCCCCCATCAAGTCTTCTGAATTTGAACCGTGAGTATTTTGCAGGCTACTTTGCAGGTTATTCCCCAGAGGGGCTGCAATCAGCAGGCGAAAGATGGGATTTAAATAAGTCTCCCTTTGCTATCTGAGCGCAATTAGGCTTTTCAGTTTAATGTGGATTTGTCGTTCTTATTTAATTTGTAGGGATGGCACTGTGGGCTGCTCACTCGTAACACTCCGCACATGGATGTATCACTAGGGAAGGTAAAAATCCCTCTTTAAAAAAAAAAGACATTTACAAATCTAAACCAACAGAGCCCATTACAGTCAAGCAATGGCGAGGGATTGTCACTTTTTTTCCTTGCTAAGCTAGATTTCCAGGCTGCAGGAGCTGGACTGGTGGATGAATTTTACCCAAAGAAACTTTCCTTAGACAAAAATACAAAGGTGTTGTGTTCATTACGACTGTAACCCTTTGTAGCCTAGGTGGCTAAACAAATTAAAGGGCTGCCCCTAGCTTTTTTACCAAAAAAAAAGGAAGCTGGAAGCATTTTCTCTTAACAAACGCAGAGAAATTTGGCAGCAGGAAGAGATTTTTAAAATGTATTTGCTGAGGGCAGCTATTGCAAATGGACAGGATGAACACAGGTTAATCATAATCCCTCTTCAGCCTTTTGTGCTTAAGCCTTTTTTTTAGATGTTGATAACCACGCGAGCACCTTCCTCAACTCCAGATGTGTTGGACTGCATTTCCCATAATGCCTAGCTGGTAGAGAAGCTGGGAACAGGGCCTCACTTCTGGAAAGGTGCTCCAGCCATTTACAATAGAGAGAACACACTGGGAGCAGAGAAAAGGGAAAGGAAACTTGGAATCCACCACCTGTTTCAGGCAGCGCCTTGCAGTGTTTGTTTGTTTGTTTTTAATTTCATTTTCTCCCTTCTTCCAAGGACGGGCCTTAGTCCATCCTTGTCACTGCAGCTTGGCTGAACCCAGCCTCGTCCGTCTCTACGGCATCTCTGCGGTGGGTCCTATCACCACCGCCCCGTCTTCTGTTGCTCATGCTGGTGGGTTCCTGTGAGTCACCCCCATGTGTGAGCTTTTGAGGCTGCCGAACTGGTGGCGTTGGGTTGCATTTTTAAAAGCGATGATGATGATGAAGAAGAAGAGAAGGATGAGTTCATTTCCACCCTGCAGGGCTGCTGGCTGAGTGGGTGGCAGGGGCTGAGTGAGCTAAGCGGGTTCCTGAGCCCGGCTGTATTTCTGAAGGCCGAAGGGAACAGCTTTCTGTGGCTCTTCATAGCTGGCTGGATGCTTTCGGCTCCTTGCTGTTGCAAAGCAGGGAGGCGGGAAGGCAGAATCAGAAAGTGCCAGAGAATAAAAAGCCCCCCAGCCTTGAGAAAAACGGATGGCTCTCCTCACCTCTAGCTGTTTTGGTCCCAGATCTTCCCTTCTCTTCTCCTCCTCCTCCTCTTCATCTCCCCACTCTCCATCTTGCTCTTGAAACCAACCAACCAGAACAAAAAAACATTTTCCTTCCTTCTCCATCACCGACAGCCCTTTTCTTTCCTTCCCCAACGACGAATCTGGGTTCTGCCAGGAAGGATATCCAGCCCCAGAAAAGGAAGAAGAGGAAAGACCAGCGGGGCGCTGGTCCATCTCCGCCACCGGAAGACGAGGGATGTGAAGATGTTGTGAGCTGAGCCAACCATGGTGCCTCTCTTTCCCCCCAAACATGTGAGCTGCAAGAGAGAACGGAGCGAGAAGCAGAGATAAAAGCTGCAGGGGAAGAGAGGGAAAGAAAAAAAAAAAAAGGAGAAAAAGACTGCAGTGTGATCGTTCCTCCTCCACCTCCTCCTCCTCTTCGTCCTCCTCCTCCTCTTCAGCCCGTTTTGAAAGGTGTACATATATCTGCTTTCCACTCTTCTTAATTTTCCTGAGTCTATTTTTTTTTTAAAAAAAACCCAAGTAGTTTTGATTTGTATGCCCAGCTTGGAAGAGACCGTCTACTCTGGCCACAGACAATGAGCGATGCGTTTACTTCATGGGCAAATACGACAACTGAAGGTGTGACGGTGAGTGTGCAGAGGCCAGGCCTGGGTGGGAATGGCTTCCTTTTTTGGGGGGGGGGAGGCATGCTCTCTCCTGCTCCCCCCCACATCCCCCTCCCCTATTGCTTCTTTTCTTTTGGGAACTTGGGAGATGAGAGAGCCGTATTAGCAAGCTTGGCAGCATGTGGTTTTTCAACTCCTGTGTGCACGTGCTTGTCTGAATGCATGCTCATGCATGTTGGAGGCCTTCTACCAGACACGTGTTTGTCTCCTCACCCTCCCCACTGTGACAGATGCAGGGAAATGCTTTCATTAAAACAAAATCGCAGCTCCTCTGAGCATGCACCGAGTGCTTTTTTTTTTCCTCCTTGCTGCGGCTCGTCTCTAGCTTGATTTTGTTCTTGGCCATCCTGCAGGAGGTTGATGGCAGTTGAAAACTTCTGGAAGGTGCTAGATTGCCTGGCTTTGTATAACATTTGGGGGATATAACAATTGGATGATAATGGTATCTGTGATCCAGTATCTTTGGGCAGGCCAGATTGGAGAAGTTTTCATTGCCTAAATATAAAAGACCCTGAGGGGGTTCAGCTCTGTGGACCCAGAGTTAGCTTAAGTACCAATAGATGAGAATATTTGTGGCTCAGGGTTGAACTGTGGGGTCCTTGGTGCTCTCTGAGCATGGAGCGATATCCTCCTAGCACTGATGAGGTTACCTATTAGGGTCATGAAATGTCTGCAAGAAAACAACCAAGCTCAGAAAGCACCAAGGACCCCACAGTCCTTCCTCCTCCTCCTCCTCCTCCTCCTCCTCCGCTCTGCAAATCCCATTCCCTTCTAGCATTGATGATGTTACCTAGTTGGGTCATGAAATGTCTGCAAGAAAACAGCCAGGCTCAGAGAGCACCAAGGACCCCAATAGTGGCCTTAAGTCATTCTGGATTCAGAAGATTTGGGGGCAAGAAAGGGGGATACAGAGCTTAGAGTCAGCTGTCTTGAGAGCCAGGCTGAAGAAGCTTGCTCAGCTGTTTAGGAGAGGACAAACACACACCCACACACACCCACACGCCCACAAATGCCCAAATTGTATAGCAGAAGTTTGCTGGAGATGGACTCTTTCCTCTCCGTGGGGGAAACCTAAACGGTCAGAGAACTTGCTTTGCACAGTGAAAATCTGGGCCCTGCTGACAATCTCCCTGTTTCAAAAACGATCCTGGTTAGGGGCTGGATTCACCCTGCTCTGCCAAAATGAAGGACGCGTCAGAATGTCTTGGGATCCTGAATGCTTAAGCCAACATGGCAGCTGACAAGTGGCCAGGCCAGAGAATCTAACCTGGTTACAAAGCAGCTGCCGACAGACTCAGCCGTCAGCTGTTTCCCCTCCCACAGAGAGACGGTTATCCTTTTTCCAACACAGAAAAACTGTCTTATCTCTTGGCAACTGCCGGGCTCAACTCATCCAATGGGAGGAACAGAATTTTGTCTCTTGGGTCTTGTGACACTTTGAAAGACTTCGCCGAGCGTTTACAGGTGGCCCTCCACTTACGACCACAATGGAGCCCCAAATTTATGTGAAGCGAGACTTGTGTGTGTTCAGTGAGTTTTGCCCCACTTTATGACTTTTCTCGCCACGGTTGTTAAACGAATCAGTGCAGTTCTTAAGTGGGTTGTTAAGCGAATCTGGTTTCCTCTGTGGACTTTGCTTGTCTGAAGATTGCAAAAGGGGATCACGTGACTCCAGAACACTGCAGTCGTCATAAACGTGAGTCAGTTGGCAAGCACTGGAATTTTGATCACGTGGGGATCATGTGACTCCGGAACACTGCAATCGTCATAAACGTGAGTCAGTTGGCAAGTGTTGGAATTTTGATCACATGACCGTTGTAAAAGTTTGAACAGTCACTAAATGAACTTGTAAGTCAAGGACAGGGTCTTCAAACTTGGCCCTTTTCTGACTTGTGGACTTCAACTCCCAGGAATTCTTAAGTATTGCTTAAGTTTTTGCAGACTTAGATCTTGATCTGGTAAAACCTGAAAAATGTGTGAGCATTTAAGATGCTACAGGCATGTGTGTTTCTGCTAAATTTTCTTGCTAAAGATGGAATTAGTCTGTCAAACATGAGTGTGAATTGGAGAGCTCAGCTTTAATGTCTTAGGTCAGGGGTCTTCAAACTTGGCCCTTTTCTTACTTGTGGACTTCAACTGAGGAATTCTGGGAGTTGAAGTCCACGAGTCATAAAAGGGCCAAGTTTGAAGACCCCTGTCTGAGGTAATTCAATATTCCTGCACCTGCTGAGGACTAGTTGATTGCCAAGCTTAAACAGAAGAGTCTCACATGGGGAAATACTTTAGCATAGCCTTTGATGGCTAGTGGGATCAAAGTTTATCTCTTTCCAATATTTCCAGATTAGAAAAGGCTCTTCCCTTTGGATTTTGTCTGAAGAACCCAAAATTAAGGAGGGAAAATGTTTAAAAGGCTTGGAAACAATGCTTGTTTGGGTGAAGACGGAACAAAGGATGGCTTTGTTCCAAACATCATATAACCTAAAAGAGTGTTTTAGCAATTTGAAGGTGTTTGGACTCACACATTTGCCATTTTAGGCATGACATGACATTAAGGGATGATATGATAGCGGTGTTCCAGTATTTGAGGAGCAGTCACAGAGAGAGAGAGAGGGAGGGAGGGAGGGAGAGAGGGAGGGAGGGAGGGAGAGAGAGAGAGAGAGAGAGAGAGAGAGAGAGAGAGAGAGAGAGAGAGAGAGAGAGAGAGAGAGTCAACCTATTCTCCAAAGGGAGAGGGCAGAAGAAGAAGCAATAGATTAGGGGGGTCAAACTGCCGGCCCTTGGGTGGGCCAGTTGCATCATACCGAAACCGCGCCTACCCCATTGCCAGCAATGGCAAAAAAGTCACGACATATCATGTGACATTGCAAGTTTGACCCCCCTGCAATAGATGGAAACAAGGAGAGAAGCAATCTAGAAATGAGAAATTTCCTGACAGTGAGAACAATTAACCAGTGGAACGACTTGCCTCCAGATGTTATGGGTGCTCCATCACTGGACACTTTTAAAGAAGAGATTGGACAATCACTTGTCTGAAATGGTATAGGGTTGAGCAGGGAGTGTTGGACAAGAAGACCTCCAAGGTCCCTTCCAATTCTTTTATTGTATATTCTATTTGATCTGGGCTATTAGTGATGTCATGGTTCCCAAAAGAAGCAGCTTTTCAACGAACTTTGAGGCTTATTTACCTTAAGGAATCCTTTATTTTCTGCATAGCTTCTGCACCTTCAAAGTTAAGCCAAAAACTGAATCTTCCCTCCCCCAAACACCCGTAACAAAGCATAACTCACTCCTTCATTTTACAGTCATCAATCACATTCTCCAATTAATGTGAAGTGTGAAGTGCCCCTCCTCTTACAGCTGACCTTGGCAACACTGTACTCAGACATTGTTATGGTTAACTAGCATATTTTCCCATCCATTAGGCTAGTATTATCTGCTTTAACTCTAGAAGTGTATACAGGCTAAATAAGACAGATTTGCTTCTCACCATCCCTTCAACAAAGTTTAATTTGAGCAAGAATGAAAATGGGACTTCGTGCTTGGAGGGTTTCTGGCCCCTTTGGGGGCACCCTGAGACTGGTGACCATGATTTCATGTTGCATTAAACATCTGCAGCCCAAGCTTATTTTGTTGCCGGAATCTAGCCATTGTAGGTTGAAACTCAATGCGTACTCCATTCAGAAGACAGAGGAGGAGGACAGAGGAATGCCTCCAGCAATCTTCAGAGAGGGCGGTCACAGCACTGTCATTCCTGTGTCCTTTGTCCCAAACATTTGAGTAATTTAAGGTTGACTGCTACTGTGTTTGGAGGTTTGATTTTGTGTTTACAATTGAAGCAACTTGATTGGTTTCTCCTACATTGCTTGAGAAAGATATATCTCCCTTAAAACTCTCCAATTTTTTAGTTACTGAAGGTTTTTTTTTTCTGTACAGGTAGTCCTTGACTTACAACAGTTCATTTAGTGACCATTCAAAGTTACAACAGCACTGAAAAAAGAGACTTAGGACTGTTTTTCATACTTGCAAGCACTGCTGCGTCCCCATGGTAACGCGATCAAAATTCAGACTGACATTCGATTCAGCATGGCCACTGATTCATATTTATGTCCGGCGGTTCATGTGATCCCCTTTTGTGACCTTCTGACAAAGTCCATGGAGAAGCCGGATTCACTTAATTGTGTTACTAACTTAAGAATTGCAGTGATGCGCTTAAGCATGATTGTAAAACGGGGCAAAATTCACTTAACAAATGTCTTGCTTAGCAACGGAACTGTTGGGCTCAATTGTGGTTGTAAGTCGAGGAACCTTGCAGAACCTTACAAAACTTTTGCAAGCCTTCCAGTTGCTTTGAGATGCCATCCGCTTCTGACAGACGGTATGGTTTTTTGCAAAGAGAAGTAAAAAAAAAACACCCCACAATGGATTTATTTCTGCTCCTCTTTTTCTTCCCCCATTCACCACCATCTCCTTCACCTCCCTAGACGGTGCCTGGCGAAGTGAGCCCCCAGGACGGTTATGTGTTACTTCTGGTGCTTCTTTCTATCTTTATTGGGGGCACTTTGGTGCTGCTGTTTGGCATCCTGATCGTCTGCCGGCGCTGCTGCGAAACGGATCGAAGGCACTCCAGGTATGAACGGGAATGGAAGGATGGGAGATCCATGGGCACGGGGAGGGTCTGTTTGGGGTAGGATGTAGATCAGGGGTCTTCAAACTTGTCCCTTTTATGACTTGAGGACTTCAACTCCCAGAATTCCTCAGCCAGGCATGCTGGCTGAGGAATTCTGGGAGTTGAAGTCCACAAGTCATAAAAGGGCCAGGTTTGAAGACCCCTGATATAGATCGTGTTTTAAGTGACTGGCTGGGAGTGGCCTTCTCTATGAAGGGGCCATCCTGATGTATTGGGAGCAACACTGCAAGAATCTGCAACCAGGCTGGCTAACAAGTTTGGGAATTGCAAACCAGCAGAGCCAGAAGGGACAGGATGAAAAAACTTTATCCCTTATCCCTAACCCTATAAAAACTAATAAAATCTATATATCTACAAAAAACTTCCCTAAAACTATTACAATTTTTCCTTCCTTCCTTCCTTCCTTCCTTCCTTCCTTCCTTCCTTCCTTCCTTCCTTCCTTCCTCCAATCTACTCCAGGAAGCATCTGGGTATTGTCCCTCCCTCTTAGCTCAATAACCAATCAGATACTGTGGGGAAGCAACTGGATAGAGAACAAGGGAGACCCAAGTTCTACCCCCCCCCCCCAGCCATGGCTGATCAGCCCCTGCCTCTTAGCCCAAGAGCCAATCATGTACTGCAGACATATCAAACACAAGGCCCGGGGGGGCCGATGCGGCCTGCAAAGTGGTTTCATGTGGTCTGCGAAGCCATCCTGGAAACAGTGAGGGAACCACCTCCGCTGCCTTGGCCTTGGTCCAGGCCAGCTGGGAGCCAATGTACAATTTTGTGGTGGCCATCTATGCTGAAACGCATTCACTCTTAGCTCCATAAGCCCGCATGGCCTGAGAGGAACAGTGAGGCTCCTCCAGTGAACCATGCCTTGGCTCTTGCCCCGATCCCACCCCCTTCTGCCAGAGACCCTCAGATCTGTCCCGCTCCTGCCCAGGTCCCCACAGGCACCCTTGACGCGAACGATGTAGAGCTGGCCACACCCACCCAGTAGGCCACACCCACTCCATCCACACCCACCCAGTAGGCCGCACCCACCCTGGCCACACCCACCCGGCCCCCTGAGGGCAACTATAATGCTGATGCGGCCCTCAATGAAATTGAGTTTGACACCCCTGAATGTACCGTATAATGGGGAAGAGGCTGGACTAGAGAGGGGAGACCCAGAATCTAGGTCTCCCTTTCAGCTCAGGAGCCATTCAAGTGTAGCACAGTTCTCTGACATTCTGTTTTACCCATAAACATAACCCTGTGAAGTGAGTTGAGCTAAGAGAGAGAAATTGGCCTGAAGTCACTCAACCAACCTCTATGCCTAGGGGAGGATTAGAACTCAGGTCTTCTAGTTTTTAAGTCCAGCACCTTCATCCATGACACAAAACTGGCTCTCATGATAAATTAACTTTATTCCCAAGTTTCTGATTGGCTGAAGTATTCTCTTAGTTCTCCAAGGAAGTCCATAATTAAGGGCTTCCCAGGATCGACTAGTGCAGGGGTAGGCAACCTTGGCTCTTTTATGACTCGTGGACTTCAACTCCCAGAATTCCTGAGCCAGCATGGCTTAGCTTGGAAACCTCTCCCTTTCCCCTCAGCATGGCTGGCTCAGGAATTCTGGGAGTTGAAGTCCATGAGTCATAAAAGAGCCAAGGTTGCCTACCTCTGGACTAGTGGAGAAGGTCTGGCATAAAAGTAGGGAGACTTGGGTTCTTAGCCACAGAAGCTCATTGGCTGAATGTGGGCCAGGCCCTCCCTTTCATCCCAAGAGCCAATCAATGGGGAAAGGGGTGGCACTAGGAAGGAGGAGACCAGGGTTCGACTCCCCACTCAGCCACAGCAGTTCATTGGCTGACTTTACGTCAGTCCCTCCCTCTCTGCTTAAGATCCAATCAGGTCTAGTTCTCTCAGGGATCTTCAAACATGGCTCTTGTATGATTTGTGGACTTCAACTCCCAGAATTCCTCAGCCAGACAGGGCTGGCTGAGGAATTCTGGGAGTTGAAGTCCACAAGTCTTAAAGTTGCCAAGTTTGAAGACCCCTGTTCTAGCCCCTCTTCTGCCATATGAATTTGTGGGAGACTCTGGACCAGCCCCTCCTGCTCAGATTGAAGGGGAAAAAAGGAAAGGGGTAGGGCTAAATACAGATAGTCCTTGATTTATGACTGCTCACTTTTCAGTTCCTGAAAAAGCTCCTCACAACCTGGATTTGAAGCTTTGGCAGCCACAGTCACATGACCACCTCTTGAATGCTTAGCAACTGGCCCTCATTCAAACCTGTCTGCAGCATCTCATGCTCAGAGGACTGCAATTTATCATTTTTTTTGCCAGAAACCAGGGTTTATTTCTAGTTTCTGGGAAAAAATATTCCATAATAAACAATGGATTCACTTAACAACCATGGTGTTTGCTATAGGTAGTCCTCAACTTACAACAGTCCATTTAGTGACCATTCCAAGTTACAATGGCACGGACAAAAGTGACTTAGGACCGCGTTTCACACTTATGACCATTGCAGCGCCCCCACGGTCATGTGATCAAAATTCAGACGCTGGGCAACTGATTCATATTTATGACCGTCGCAGCATCCCGGAATCATATGATCCCCTTTTGCAACCTTTTTGACAAGCAAAGCCAATGGGGAAACCAGATTCATTTAACAACCGTGTTACTGACTTAACAAATGCAGGGATTCGGTTAACAACTGTGGCAAGAAAGATCGTAAAATGGGACAAAACTCCTTAACAAGCGTCTCCCTTAGCAAAATAAATTTTGGAGCTCAGTTGTGGTCGTAAGCCGAGGAATACCTGTATTTCGATGCTTCTCTTAAGTTGTTCAAAGAGGGGAGGATTTCTGCATGTGTTTATAATATCTACATCTATCACCTTTTTTTCCTATTTCCAGAGCCAGTGATGACCCAGAAAAAACAAACACAACTTACCTGGATGACTCACAGCCGACACAAGGTGAGAGCATTTAAGATCGACCCTCTTTGCTCCAGCGCAGGAATCAGATTTAACTCACTCTTGGCCAAAGCCGTCCAGTTTTTATTTCAACACCTCCGAGAAATGGAAGTTAGGAAGTTTGAGACTAATGTTCTCTTTGTGTCCTACAGAGTGCGAGCAAACCACAACATCAACTCAGATTCCGTCAGATGCGTTCCTTATTTTTAAACTGACAAAACTGGGAATTAAAACTCTTTTCCGGGGATATACAGATATAGTCCTTGAATTACAACCGCGATGGAATCTGCCCTTCACAATCATAAGTTGTGATGGTCATAAAATCAGTCAGACATGTGATGGGCCTGATTTTATGACCTTTTTTTTTTTTCAGTGGTCCTAAAGAGAGTAATGTGGTTGTTAAATGAATCCGTGATTCGATATAGACACGTTTTTTCTCCAAATGGAGAGTAAATGTTGATTTTCAGTAAAAGCATTGTAAAAAGTGATCTCATGACCGGGGGACATTGCAAAGAGCCCCAAAAAGTGCAGCCTGGTTGCCAAGCAACAGAAGTTTGGTCATGTGACTAGAAGAAGGCCCCACCAATCGTTGGAACTTTGAATACGTCATACAAGTAGTCCCAAATAGGCCAGTTGTAACTTCAAATGGTTGCTAAGCAACCAGGCATAAGTGGAACAATCTGCCTCCAGAAGCGGTGAATGCTCCAACACTGGAAGTTTTTAAGAAGAGACTGGACAGCCATTTGTCTGAAATGGTATAGGGCAGGGTCTTCAAACTTGGCCCTTTTATGACTTGTGGACTTCAATTCCCAGAATTCCTCAGCTAGGCACACGTGCCTGGCTGAGGAATTCTGGGAGTTGAAGTCCACAAGTCATAAAAGGACCAAGTTTGAAGACCCCTGGTATAGGATTTCTTGCCTGAGCAGGGGGTTGGACTAGATGACCTCCAAGATCCCTTCCAACTTTATTATTATTATTAAGTCGAGAACTACCTATATAAAGGCCGTCCTTGGCTTACAACCCTTCATTTAGTGACAGTTCAAAGTAACAACGGCATGAAAAGAGTGACTCATGACTCATGTTTCACACTTACCGCTGGCCTCCTTGTGGTCACATGATCCAAATTCGGATGCTTGACAACTGACTCATTTATGACAGTCGCAGTGTCCCTGGGGGGATCATGTGATCCCCTTTTGGGACCTTTTGACAAGCGAAGTCAGTGGGGAATCCAGATATCACTTAACAACCCGTATTACTAAAGTGCAGTGAGTCACTTAACAACAGTGGCCAGAAAGATCGTAAAACGGGCAAAATTTACTTAATTGTCCTTCTTTGCAATGGGAATGTTGCGCTCAATTGTGGTTGTAAGAAAAAGACAATCTGTATTTCTCCTTAGGAACAGAAGCAGGCTGTTGCTGCTGCCTATTCATCCCTCCACTCTCTTTTCCTCCCCACCCCTTAGACATCACCATTAAAGTGGATGACCCCGAATGCATGTCCAGCTCCAGCTACCGAGATGCGGAGAGCGAACGGTTTCTGTCTTCCGGGAGTGCCACGGGGCGGCGGGTGTCTTTTAATGAAGCTGCCCTTTTTGAGCAGAGCAAGAAAGCGCAGGAGAAAGGAAGGAGGTGAGTTTTGAGGTTTGATCAGGAACCGGTAGGCTGGGCTGGGAATTGGAGGTTCCACATCTGGAAGGCGGAAGAGGGAGCTGAGGTGGTGCATCTGAATAATAGAATAAAAGAACTGGAAGGGTCCTTGGAGGTCTTCTATTCCAAAGGTCCGCAACCTTTTGGACACCAGGGAATGGTTCCGTGGAGAGAAGCTTTTCCGTGGACTGGAGGGTATGTGGTTTTGTGTGCTGCCTGAATCTCGCGGATGGAGTTTTGCTTGTTTGTGTGGACCAGTTGCTGGCATGCCATGGCTCAGTACTGGTCCACAGGCCGGGGGTTGGGGACCCCTGTTCTATTTCCTGCTCAGGCAGGAAACCCTATACCATTTCAGACAAATGGCTGTCCAGTCTAATAATAATAATAATAATAATAATAATAATAATAATAATAATAGTAATAAGTGCCTTGGGTGCAATCCCAAAACAACTGGAGCACCACTTGAACACCATTGGCATTGACAAATTCGCTATTAGTCAATTGCAAAAGGCGGCTTTACTAGGAACTGCTTCCATCCTGCGATGATACCTGTAATACCATTAAACATCCACATCTGCCTATCCCAGGTCCTGGGTAAGGACTCGATAGGTAGACAAAATGCCAAATCCAGTCTGAACATCTGGCAATGATCAATAATAATAATAATAATAATAATAATAATAATAATAATAATAAAGTTGGAAGGGACTTTGGAGGTCATCTAGTCCAACCCCCTGCTCAGGCAGGAAACCCTATACCATTTCAGAGAGATGCATGTCCAGTCTCTTCTTAAAAACTTCCAGTTTTGGAGCATTCACCACTTCTGGAGGCTGGTTGTTCCACTGGCTAATTGTTCTCACTGTCAGGAAGTTTCTCCTTAGTTCTAGGTTGCTTCTCTCCTTGGTTAGTCTCAATCCATTGCTTCTTGTCCTGCCTTCAGGCGCTTTGGAGAATAGCTTGACTCCTTCTTTGGGGCAGCCCCTGAGATATTGGAAGACTGCTATCATGTTCCCCCCCCCCGTCCTTCTCTTCATTAAGCTAGACATCCCCAATTCCAGCAACTGTTATTCATATGTTTTATCTTCCAGCCCCCAATCATCTTTGTTGCTCTTCTCTGCACTCTTTCTAGAGTTTCAGCATCTTTTTTTGTGTTGTGGTGACCAAGTGTGGTCTTACCAAAAAATTACAAGCAGTACTAACACGTCTCATTATCTTGATACTATGTGACGCAATTTAGGACGGTTGTGGTCTTTCACTGAGGAAGTGGGCTGGGGAGAGGTGTTCAGTTCTCTTTTGCTTAGTCTGAAAAAGTCTCCCATTACTTTTGAGAAATAGCACTATTAGTAGTAGTACTGTAGTACTGTGTAGTAGCAATCATAGCAATAATAGGTTTATATCCCAGTTGTTCTTCAAAACTTCCAGATAATGTCCTTTCCCCTTATTCTCACAAGAACGAAGGGCCCTGTAAGGTTGAGCTGGGAGAAAAGTGTGTGTTTCTATGGGTCAGGGTACACTAGAACTCGGGTCTCCCTGATCTACATCTGATTGGCTGTTGAACTGAGAGGGAAAGACTGGGCTAAAGTCAGCCAATGAGCTTCTGTGTCTAAGGAGGGACTAGAACTAGAATCTCCCCACTCCTGGTCCAGCACCTTCTCAACTGATTGGCTCTTGGCGTGAGAGGGAGGGACTGGCCCAAAATCAGCCAATGAGCTTCTGTGTCGAAAGAGGGACTAGGACTGTAGCTGCAACACATTGAAAAAGCAAAATGACCATTTTTCACACTTAACAACCGTTGCAACATTCCCCAGGGTCACATGATCAACACACAGGCGCTTGGCCCCTGGTGTGTATTTATGACAGTTGCCCTGTCCCGAGGTCATGTGATCACCATGTGTATCCTTCCCAGATGGCTTCCGACAAGCAAAGTCAACAGGGAAAGCCAGATTCGCTTAACGACCACTTGATTGACTTAACAACTTCAGCAACTCGCTTAGCAAACTGTGGCAATGAAGGGTCGTAAAAACGGGGCAAAACTCACTTAACTGTCTTTCTTAGCAATGGAAATTTGGGGCTCAATTGTGGTCGTAAGTCGAGGACTCCCTGTACACTTCCTTTTCTCTAGAAGTAAAATGTGGGATTGTGTTAAGATGACTTTGTGCTTCCTGCTTCATTGTGGCTTTTTTTTTTCTGCCTTTCCCGCTAGGTACACTCTGACCGAGGGTGATTTCCACCATTTGAAGAACGCCCGCCTCAGCCATCTGCCCCTGCCACCCTCGGCTGCCCTCAAAATCGTCACCATCCACGAGTGCGAATCCAACGAGAACAGCATGATGACGACTCCACGCCTCCCACCGGTCAAGCCGAGACTTGCCATCTTCCAAGTGAGCCCCTCATCCCTCCAGGGTATGGGGGTGGAACCGAATCGGTCTGGGGGGGATCAGTAGGACCAAGTCTCTCCAAAGGTGTTTTAGGTCATTCCATTCCAGTGTTTCTCAATCTTGGCCCCTGGAAGATGTGTGGACTTCAACTCCCAGAATTCTCCTGGCTGGAGGATTCTGGGAGTTGAAGTCCATCCATCTTCCAGGGACCAAGGCTGAGAAAACATTGTTCTATTCCGGCGTTTTTAAAAAAAATTATAAATTCGTTTTCCAAAGTTTGAATAAATCAACAAATGAGTTTGTCTTCACACAACCAAGATATCTTGGTTAGTGGATTAGTCTGTTTTCTGGGGTTACACAAACATACCAAATGGCCTCAATTTGCACCCTAAGTGAAGCCACAGCCAAGATTAACACTAATCAAAATAAGTGTGTTGCACCAATGGAGCTGTTTGGTCTTTCATTAACTCGACGAAACATACCATTTGTACTTCCAAAATTGAGAATTTGACAGCTCCATTTTCAATTAGTTATTTAATTTATGTAAAACATTTTGTAGACACCCTTTAAGTGCCAAAGCTTTCCAAGGCATCTTACACAAAGGAGTAATAATGTCAACAGTTTCCTTTTTTTTTTCCCCCACTTGAGTTGCTTTTAAAAATACTGTCTGATTGCAAAGAACACTTTAAATACTTAACACAGATTAATACATACAGTTGCAGTATTCACATAACATGAGATATTCATACAAGTAGCCTAGAGCAGAGGTCCCTAACCTTTTGGGCACCAGGAACTGGTTCTGTGTAGAGAGGTTTTTCCGCAGACCGGAAGGTGCGTGGTTTTGTGTGCTGCCTGAATCTCACGGATGGGGCTTTGCTTGTTTGTGCAGACTGGTTGCTGGCACACCACGGCCCAGTACTGGTCCGCGGCCCGGGGTTGGGGACCCCAGGCCTAGAGAGCTGCATGCTATATTAATAAATTAGACCGATTGGTAAATATGTAGGTAGGCAGGCAGAGAGGTGCTAGATAGGCAGAGAGATAAAGAGATAATGGTAGGTAGGCAGATAGAGAGATGATGCAGATAATGATAGAGTGATAGAGAGAGTGATAGAAATGATTATATACACACAGACATATACAAACATACATAGATAATGATAGACCAAATATAATGATAGATGTTCTCCAAAGGTGCTTTTTCCGAAAGGCAACTGGCTTTTCTTGTTTTTTTCCTTGAAAAAGTTTCACTTCTCATCCAAGAAGCTTTTTCAGTTCTAATGAAACAAAATGTTTTCAAAGTCCAATTGCCTTTTGGAATAACCATAACCATAATCTAGAATTGAGAATCTCCGTAGACATCAGTAATGATAATATCAGTAGAGGCAATAGATAGATAGATAGATAGATAGATAGATAGATAGATAGATAGATAGATAGATAGATCACAGATAGATGGTAGATAGATAATAGATATTAGATAATAGATAAATGATAGATAAATAATAGATAGATAATAGATAGATAAATGATAGATAATAGGTAAATGATAGATAATAGATAGATAAATGATAGATAGATAGATAGATAGATAGATAGATAGATGATAATGATCAATAGAAAGATAGATAGTGATAGATGATAAAGTGATCTACAGTCATACTAGAGAGAAACGATAAATAATGATCAATAGAGAGATAATGATAGGATAGATAAGGAGAGAGAAATAATGATGGATGAGAAATGAGAGAGAGAGAATTAGCTGAGAGATGGATCAATCTTTGATTTGTATATAGATAAATAAATTTAGACAGGAGGATTGTCTCTCTCTCTGAAGCATCTATTCTATCTGGTGCCCTTCAGATGTGGTGGGATCCCAGGTCCTCAGGATCTCCAGTCAGCTAGGTAGGACACGTTGACTGGCTATTACTGATATTATGATTCTCATAGATCTGGGTTAGGCTGGGTTAGGAAAGCTGTTACAAAATAGTTAATGGAATATCTAAATTTCCCATAAAAGTTTGAATCCCATTTTTCATGTCATCTGAAACCTTTCATGAATATTGGAAATGTATTCAAATTGAGATAGAACACCTAAAATTCTCATTTCAGCAGTTACTGATGTCTCTTAACACAATGCATATAAAGGGAAGAAATCTACTTTCTGAGTTTCATAGAAGCCCATAGATTAGAATCTTACAAACCAGGGGAAGTGGGCTGCAGTAAGTCCTTTAGATATCTTTATAAATAATAATAATAATAATTATTATTATTATTAAATTTATATCCTTCCCATCCCACTACTTAAAGTCATTCTATAGTAAATTATTATAGACAGATGTTTTTTGATTCTGTAGGAAACTTCTCTAGATCTTCTACATATCTTAGTTCTGGGAAAGAAGATTGTCATATATGTACAGGTAGTTCTTGACTTACGACTACAATGGAGCCCAAAATTTTTGTTGCTAAGTGGGATGATAATAATAATAATAATAATGATGATGATGATAATGATGATAATGATGTTGATGTTGGAAGGGACCTTGGGGATCATCTAGTCCAGGGGTGTCAAATTGCCAGCCCGCGGGCCGGACACATCCTGCAGAAGGCGCGCCCACCCATTGCCGGAATGGCAAAACTCTCCCAATATGTTGCGCGACATCACGTGACGTTGCAAGTTTGACATGTCTGATCTAGTCCAACCCCCTGCTCAGGTAGGAAACCCTACACCATTTCGGACAAATGGCTGTCCAGTCTCTTCTTAAAAACTTCCAGTGTTGGAACATTCACCGCTTCTGGAGGCAGGTTGTTCCACTGGTTAATTGTTCTAACTGTCAAGAAGTTTCTCCTTAGTTCTAGGTTGCTTCTCTCCTTGGTTAGTTTCCATCTGTTGCTTCTTGTCCTGCCTTCAGGCGCTTTGGAGAATAGCCTGACTCCCTCTTCTTTGGGGCAGCCCCTGAGATACTGGAAGGCTGCTATCCTGTCCCCCCTCGTCCTTCTCTTCATTAAACCGGACATACCCAACTCCAGCAACTGTTCCTTATATGCTTTAGCCTCCAGTCCCCTGATCATCTTTGTTGCTCTTCTCTGTACTCTTTCTAGAGTCTCAACATCTTTTTTACATCGTGGTGACCAAAACTGGATGCTGTATTCCAAGTGTGGCCTTACCAAGGCGTTGTAAATGAATTTGGCCCCATTTTATGATCTTTTTTGTCACAGTTGGGAAGACAATCACTGTAGATGTTAGTAACACAGTGTTTAAATGAAGCTGGCTTCCCCCATTGACTTTGCTTGTGGGAAGGTCTCAAAAGGGCGGCCGTCATCAATATTACTCAGTTGCCACGAGTCTGAATTTTAATCAAATGACCATGGGGATGCCGCAACGGTTGTAAATGTGAAAACACAGTCATAAGTCACTTTTTTCAGTACTGTTGTAACTTTGAACAGTCACTAAGTGAAATGTTGTAAGTGGAGGACTACTTGTATATGTAATGGCAGCCAATAGGAGCTTTATGTAAGAAAATAATTAATATAAGTTTATTGTGTTTCCAATGGAGAGTTAAGATAGCGGACACTTTGCCCAGCAAACAGCCGAAAAACCGGATTGATAGTTTACTGGGTTGTGCTTGATCATCTTCTGCTTCCTCATCCTCCTCTTTCTCCTTCTCAACAGCCAACTGGAAGCCCCCTGCCCAAGACAGCGCTGACTAGCCATGGGGGTCTGTGTTCGAGTTCAACACTACCAGGGGACACTTTTAACTCCAGTGTTGAAGCTGCTTCCTCTGTTTCCTCTGACTCGGGCGAGGGAGTTGTGGTAGGTGAACCCAATACAGTGCAAAAAGCGGGCTGTATAAATTGTGCATACAGGTAGTCCTTGACTTACAACGATTCATTTAGTGACCCATGAAGTTACAACGGCACTGAAAAAAAGTGACTTATGACCATTTTGCACGCTCAACGACTGTTTTAGCATCCCCATGGTCACATGATCGAAATTCAGACACTTGGCAACTGGCCTGTATTTAGGATGATTGCTGTGTCCCAGGGTCACGCGATCACTTTTTGCAACTTCTGACAAGCAAAACCAGTGGGATTCACTTAACAGTCGTGTTAATAACTTAACAACGGCAGTGATTCACTTGTCAAGGATGAAACTTTGGCAGCTACATGCCTCTGCATTTCAACCTGCCTTTAAATTGGGGGGGGGGAGGTGTTCCTTTCAAGTGGGTGAGATGAAGAAACGAAACTTCTTCGATTCAGCCAAACACCACGAGAGCCTGAAGCCTTGTCAAGGACACCAGAACAGGTGTGCTTTTCAAGCGGACGGTTCCCATGACAAAGTGAACTTGTTGATAGGGAGTACATAAGACGTTGGGGATTTGGCTGGGGAAATTATTGTTTAAGTCTATGCATTGGTGTTGGAACCTCAGAGTTAGTTCTGCTTTCAACATAACCATGAAGTGTATTCAATAAATGGTAAGCTTTTCAGAAACGGAATGAATGGAACGGAGTTTTATTTGGATTCTTGAGCTGGATGTTGACATTCACTGAACAGCCAGGGCAAGAAACAGTCGTAAAATTGAGTGCAACTCTCTTAACAACTGCCTTAGTTAGCAAGAGATATGTTGGTCCTAATTGTGGTCGTACGTTGAGGATTGCCTTTATTGGCATGTACACAGCACTGGGCCATGATTAACCCTTTCCTGTTCTCCATTCAAACAGTCTGGCAGTGCAGCCAAGGCCGCTAAAGGAGCCCCCACAGCTCCTCCACAGGACCCCACCTCAGCACCTGCCCAGGGCACCGTCCTTCATTTCCTGACCCGCCTGCGCCGTCACGCTAGCCTGGAAGGAGCGAGTCCCTATTTCAGGATCAAGAAGTGGAAACTGGAAACCAGCCAGCGGGCCTCCAGTCTGGACACAAGAGGTGGGTGTCTCCGCTCTGTTTGGGGGGAGGGAGTTGCCGGCATTCCCTAAGTCTGCAAGTCAGAGTCCTAAGACCTAATGCAGTGTTTCTCAACCTTGGCAACTTGAAGATGGGTGGACTTCAACTCCCAGAATTCCTCAGCCTGGCTAGATTTAGTTGGTTGTTTCATAGATCGTTTCATGGATGAATCTTCTGGGCTTGGAATAATTTTTACGTAATTCTTAGGAAGAATGTGTGGTCATTGACTTAAAGCAGGGGGATCAAACTCACCCCGTCATGTGATGTGTTGTGACGTATCGCGACTTTTCCCCCCTTGCCGGAGCTGGGTGGGCGTGGTTTCGGGATGATGCATCCGGCCTGTGGGCCGGCAGTTTGACACCCCTGACTGGAAGGATGCGCCAAGAATCACGTTGCATTCTCTTGTTCAATGTTTCTCGAACTTGACAACTTGAAGACTTGTGGACTTCAACTCCCAGAATTCCCCAGCCAGCAATGCTGGCTGGGGAATTCTGGGAGTTGAAGTCCACCCATCTTCAAGTTGCCACGGTTGAGAAACACTGATCTAAAACAGGGGTCCCCAGATCATGGACAGGCTGTCCGTGGCCCGTTAGGAACCAGGCCGTGCAAGTGAGCTAAGTCCCATCTTCGCACAGGCGGGATCCAGGCAATGTGAGAAACCACACACCCTCAATCCAGTCCACAGAAAAACCGGTCACTGGCCGCCAAACGTTTGGGGACCCACTGACCTAGACATTCCTCCTGGATGATCTCTCCTTACTGGTCCTTCAAGTCTTCTAGGAAGGACTCCATCCATCTTGCTGCTGGTTCTTCCCTTCCCTTCCCTTCCCTTCCAGCAAGAGAGACTTCTTCAGAGTACCAGATCCAATCTCATCTTTCCCACTATGAACCAGCATCGCAAGACTTAGTAGAGTAGAGAAACAATTCCCTAAAAAGCAGAGAAAGATTCTGCCTCTTCTCAATCATGTGATATTGTTTGATATTTCCCATTATATCCCCATCAACTCAAATGTATTACAGACAGTATTACAGACAGTATTTATTTATTTATTTATGAGACTTATATACCGCTTTAAGTGCAAGCACTCTCTAAGCGGTGTACACCAGTAAGCAATGTATATATACATTTACATTGCCCCCAACAATCTGGGTCCTCATTTTACCTACCCCGGAAGGATGGAAGGCTGAGTCAACCTTGAGCCGGTGGGATTTGAACCGCTGACCTGCTGAACACAGTCAGCTAAAGTGGCCTGCAGTACTGCACTCTAACTGCTGCGCCACCTCGGCTCAGTATTACAGACAGTTCCAAAATTTTGGAACCCAAACTTTTTGTTGCTAAGCAAGACAATTGTTAAGAGGGTTTGTCCCATTTATTCACTTTTCTTGCCACAGTTGTGAAGAGAATCACTCTAGTTAAGTTGTTGTTGTTAGTTGCGAAGTCGTATCCGACCCATCGCGACCCCATGGACAACGTTCCTCCAGGGCTTCCTGTCCTCTGCCATCTTCTGGAGTCCATTGAAGCTCACGCCTACTGCTTCAGTGACTCCATCCAGCCACCTCCTTCTCTGTCGTCTCCTTCTTCTCTTGCCCTCCATCTTTCCCAGCATTAGGCCCTTCTCCAGTGAGTCCTTCCTTCTCATTAGGTGGCCAAAGTACTTGAGTTTCAACTTCAGGATCTGGCCTTCTAAAGAGCAGTCGGGGTTGATCTCCTCTAAGACTGACCGGTTTGATCGCCTTGCAGTCCAGGGGACTCGCAGAAGTCTTCTCCAGCACCATAGTTCAAAGCCCTCAATTCTTTGGCGCTCAGCCTTTAGTTTTTAAGTGAATCCAACTTCCCATTGACTTTGCTTGTCAGAAGGTCACAAAAGGGGATCACATGACCCCGGAACACTGCAACAGTCATAAATACATGCCAGTTGCCAAGCATCCAAATTTTGATCATGAGACCATGGGATGACGGTCGTAAATATGAAAAATGCCCATACGTTACTTTTTTCATTACTGTTGTAATTTCCAATGGCCACTAAACAAACCGTTGTAAGTTGAGGACTACCTTTAATGCTCTCCAAAAGATTGCTGGTCCCTAAACTGAAACGCGGAACAGGAGCATCTTGTACTGCAGAGACAAATGGACTCACTGATTTCAATACTTGAATTGAAGGAATAAAAACTCGGGGGGGGGGAGGGTCCTTGGCGCTCTCTGAGCCTGGCTGTTTTCTTGCAGATGTTTCATGATCCAACTAGGTAACATCATCAGTGCTAGAAGAGAATGGGATTTGCAGAGTGGAGGAGGAGGACCGTGGGGTCCTTGGGGCTCTCTGAGCTTGATTGTTTTCTTGCAGACGTTTCATGACCCAACTAGGTAACATCATCAGTGCTAGAAGGGAGTGGGGTTTGCTCTCACTAGCGCTGATGATATCCCAAAGGTGCTTTTTGTTCCACAAGACAAATGGACCTTCTTGTTTTTCTTTGAAGACATTTCGCTTCTCATCCAAGAAGCTTCTTCAGCTCTGATTCAGCATTGAGGATATTACCTAGTTAATAATAATAATAATAAAGTTGGAACGGATCTTGGAGGTCATTGAGTCCAACCCCCTGCTCAGGCAGGAAACCCTATACCATTTCAGACAAATGGCTGTCCAGTCTTTTCTTAAAAACTTCCAGTGTTGGAGCATTCACAGCTTCTGGAGGCAGGTAGTTCCACTGGTTAATTGTTCTGTCAGGAAGCATAAATACAGCCCTGCACAGAGAGTTACCAAGGACCCCTCATTTCAACCCCAAATGGCAAATATTCTCCTTTATCAAGAAAAATTCCATGGCCTGTGCATAGGGATTTTCGTAGTCAGCGGACAGATTTTTCCATCTCTTCCCCCCCCCCCTCAAAAATACCAAAACAAGTTTCAGAAATCAGGACTCCTGGCTACATTTCAGCGCCCGTCTCTTCCTTCAGGGTCCCCCAAGCGTCACCAGTTCCAGCGACAGCGAGCCGCGAGTGAAAGCATGGACCAGGATCGTGATCCTCACCAGACAGACATCATCCAGTATATTGCCCGGACGGACGACGTGGTTTTCCGGCCCGTGGCTGGACCATTCCTACCTGCTCCGGCCAGTCCAACATTATCTCTCGGCAGGTATTTTTCAGTAGATAAGTGGGAAGGGGGTGGGGGTGGGTCGATGCCCCAGAGAATAAGTGCAGGATTGAGACACCTTTGGCAGCTCTGGAGTGGAAAAACAAAATCAGAACGGACGTAACCACCATTAGGACCAGAATTTCTGTGGCTAAGTGCATAAATGTAATAAATAAAATAAATAAAAGCGACAGTTGTTTAAATGCAGTTGTACCCAATTTTACGGCCACTTTTGCACGGTTGTTAAATGAATCACTGGAGCCATTAAGCGAATCACCTGGTCATTAAGAGAATCTGGTCTTCCTAATTGAGTTGGCTTGTCAGAATCTGGCTGGGAAGGTTGCAAACGGTGATCACATGACCCCGGGACGCTGCAACCATCGTACATACATTTACCGTGTGGTAAGATGGATGGCCATTGAATTTGATAAATGAAATAAATAAACTGCCGGTTGCCCAGCACCCGATCACATGACTGCGGGGGATGCGGTAACGGTCATAAGCGCAAGGGCTGGTTGTAAGTCACTTTTTTTTCCAGTGCCGTTGTAACTTGGAACGGTTGCTAAATGAATAGCCGTAAGTCGACGACTGCCTGTACCTCCTCTTGGAGAAGGCGATACTCTTGTGGAATTCAACATTGGGAATTTTCAAATTAATAAATAAAAGCTGAAGGACCGGTCGGAGTCCTTGGCTATCTGCCTTGGCTTGTTGAGAGGTTGAGAGGATGTTTTGAGGGGCCCTACAAAATGGCTGCCGACCAACTCCAGCCAGGAAGTTTTTAATTGCTGATAGCGGGAATTTTTCCTTCACCGTCCATGTTGATTTTGCTGAGGTCCTTCTTTTAAACATCAAGCCATATTTCAGCCCTCATTGTCCTAAATAATAGATGGACTTAAATGGGAAGAAGCTATTTTAAACCAGACTCTCTTCAGCAGCCGTTCTTTTAAAACCTTCACCAAATGATTTTGTTTCCCATCACTGTTATCTAATTTTTCTTTTTTTAATAACTGAAAAGGCTGGGATCAAATCGGTTACATACCGCAAAGTTTCTTTCTCTCAGCTGTGATGCTGTGATTTGAGTGTCCAGATCGTTTACTGGATAAGAATCTGAATAATGGATGAACGCAGTGACCATATGCTTTGCCTCTTCCTTGCTAACGTAGTCTTTTTAAAAAAGAAAAACAAAAAACCCCACATCATTTAAAAATAGATTTGGAGGAAATTATCTGCTTCCCATCCTGCTTTCTTCTCTCAAAAGGGAGGGCGAATCAGTCTGTCTCTGGAGGACAGCTGGTCCTCCAGAACAGTGGTTCTCAACCTTTTTAATGGCGCGACCCCCAACCGGTCGTAAGTCGAGGACTACTCAACCAGTCGTAAGCTGAGGACTACTCAACTGGCGCAGCACCGTTTGCAGAATGGGACTATTGGCGGGCTCAGCAGGGCAGAGACAGCCTGGACAATTCCTATTGGTCTTTGAAAGCCAATAGAATTAGACTCTATTCAAGAGAGCCTATTCTATTGGCTTTCAAAAGCCAATAGAATAAAAGGGAGTAGCACAGCTAAGGAAAAGGGGGGAAAAAAATGGCGGACTGCGTTGTTTGGCGACCCCCGTGAAAGGTCGTTCGACCCCAAATGGGGTCCCGACCCACAGGTTGAGAACCACTGCTCCAGAAGAACATGAGAATGGGAGAAGAGACTGGAGCAGGCTTATGGTCCAGCTTTCTGATCATCCAATGGTGCACCAAAGGCTTTTGAGAAGCTCATGATGTATCTTTGCAGCTACAACAGCTGTCTCACTTTCAGGAGGTACAAGTAGTCCTCCAGAGATAGAATCAAGATCACATGGTCTTAATACCAGTTTACAAGGCCTTGGTAAGGCCACACTTGGAATCCTACATCCAGTTTTGGTCACCACGATGTAAAAAAGATGTTAAGACTCTAGAAAGAGTACAGAGAAGAGCAACAAAGATGATCAGAGGACTGGAGGCTAAAACATATAAGGAATGGTTGCTGGAATTGGGTATGTCTAATTTAACAAAGAGAAGGACGAGGGGTGACATGATAGCAGCGTTCCAATATCTCAGGGGCTGCCACAAAGAAGAGGAAATCAAGCTATTTTCCAAAGCACCTGAAGGCAGGACAAGAAGCAACAGATGGAAATTAATCAAGGAGAGAAGCAACCTGGAACTAAGGAGAAACTCCCTGACAGAACAATTAACCAGTGGAACAACCTGCCTCCAGAAGCGGTGAATTTATTTATGAGACTTATATACCGCTTTAAGTGCAAGCACTCTCTAAGCGGTGTACACCAGTAAGCAATGTATATATATATTTACATTGCCCCCAACAATCTGGGTCCTCATTTTACCTACCCTGGAAGGATGGAAGGCTGAGTCAACCTTAAGCCGGTGAGATTTGAACCCGCTGACCTGCTGAACATAGTCAGCTAAAGTGGCCTGCAGTACTGCACTCTAACTGCTGCGCCACCTCGGCTCATAATGGTGAATGCTCCAACACTGGAAGTTTTTAAGAAGAGACTGGACCACAGGTCGGCAACCTGCGGCTCCGGAGCCGCATGCGGCTCTTTGAGCCTTCCCCTGTGGCTCCCAGCCTCCTCTGCCTTTGCAGAGAGAGACAGAGACAGAGAGAGGCAATTGCGCTTCCCTGCTTCTCTCTCGCTCTCCCTCTCGCTCTCTCTCTCTCTCTCTCTCTGTGTGTGTGTGTGTAAAAGAGAGTGCACTCACAGTGTTCTCGGAGGAGCTGAAAAGCTTACTGGGCGGAGCTCCTCCCTTTGCTGCGTTTCTGCAGGAAGCAGGAAGGGCAGGAAAGAGCTAGCTAGCCCAGCTAGGCTGACTCAGGAATTCTGGGAGTTGAAGTCCATGAGTCATAAAAGAGACGAGGTTGCCTACCCCTGAGCTTGTTGGACAACAGTTTGAAGCTTGCCAGGTGAGCAGCAGATAGGAGGGGGGGGGGAGAAAGAGAGAGAGAGAAAGAGAGAGGGAGGGAGGGAGAGAGAGAGAGAGAGGAAAGAGAGAAAGAAAGAGAGTGGGGGAAGAGGAGTGGCAGACCAAGGGCAGAGAGGGAGGGAGGAAGAGAGACAGAGAGAGACAGACCCTTTTGACATCTAAAATGAAGATAACACTGCATATATCCTTTTTTTACCTATGTGTGTATGTAATTTTATTCTCTTAAAGCATTCTCTTGGTGATCATTGTTTTAATAGTATGAATATTCCCAAGAGTGATATTTTTATTTTTAATGTGTGTGTGTGTGTGTGTGTATGTTTGTGTGTATGTGTGTGTGTGTGTGTGTGTATGTGTGTGTGTGTGTGTGTGTGTGTACACACACACACACACACACACACACCTATAATAAAGGTAAAAAAGGATATATGCAGTGTTATCTTCATTTTAGATATCAAAAGGGTTTTGCGGCTCCCGGTGTTTTGTTTTTGGTGGGAAACGGGTCCAAGTAGCTCTTTGAGTGTTTTGGGTTGCCTACCCCTGGACTGGACAGACATTTGTCTGAAATGGTATAGGGTTTCCTGCCTGAGCAGGGGGTTGGACTAGATGACCTCCAAGGTCCCTTCCAACATTATTATTATTATTATTATTATTATTATTATTATTATTATTATTATTATTAACAACCATTCCTTCAGTGACTGTTCAGAGTTACAACAGGACTGAAAAAAGTGACTTATAGCCAGTCCTTGCACCTGCAACTGACATTGCATCCTCCACAGTCATGTGTGATCAAAATTCGGGTATTTTGACAACTAGCATAAAGTTACCAAGGTTGTGTCATCCCGGGGGGTCATCTGATCGCCATTCGTGACCTTCCCAGCTGTCTTCCAGCAAGCAAAGTCAATGAGGGAAGCCAGATTCGCTTAATGACTGTGTGGTACACTTAACGACTAAAGTGATTCGCTTCTTTACTCCCTTTTTTACCATTTCGGGTGCCAAAGGAGATTTTCTTAACAACAGTGGCCAAAAGCAGCGTAAAATTGGGCATGGCTCATTTAACAACCATTTCTGGTCCTAACTGTGGACTAGAAGACCTTCAGAGTCCCTTCCAGCTCTATTCTGATGGATTGATCCAATTGCCTTGGATCAGCATCTCACTATTTGCCACGCTTGAGGGGTAAGGAGGATTGAGGGGGATGGGCAGGGCTTCGGTAGCACTGCTGCAACCACAATCTTGCCTTTGGATGTCACTGGTCCTGGCGGCCTTGCCTTGAAGAGCGGGCACAGGCCTCGACTTGAAAAAAGATACGCGAACTCTGAGAACTGATGTAGACATAGATTTCTAGGAGCAGAATTCCACTAAGATTTGGTTGTCCCAAATGGGGTTTTTCAGGAGGCAACTGGACTTTCTTGTTTTTCTTTGAAGACGTTTTGCTTCTCCTTCCAGAAGCTTCTCCAGCTCTGACTGGATGGTGGGGAAGGATTTATATTCCTTGCAGACAGCTGGTCATTTGCCTTCTTTTAGACCAGTGGTTCTCAACCTGTGGGTCGGGACCCCATTTGGGGTCGAACGACCATTTCACGGGGGTCGCCAAACAAGGCTGTCCGCCATTTTTTCCCCCTTTTCTTTGGCCACGCCCCTGGCACCTGGTGATGTATAAGTGGTTGGGGGTCACCACAACATGGGGAACTGTATTATGGGGTCGCGGCATTAGAAAGGTTGAGAACCACTGTTTTAGACAGTCGTTGAGGCTACTTGGAGGACCCATTTGCACCACTCAGGTGACTTTGAGGACATAGGTAAACCTCCAAGTGGCCTCAAGGACTCTCTAAAACAGTGGTTCTCAACCTTTTTAATGCTGCAACCCCCCAACTGGTCGTAAGTCGAGGACTACCCAGCCGGTCATAAGTCGAGGACTACCCAACCGGTCATAAGTTGAGGACTACCCAACCGGTCGTAAGTCGAGGACTTTCCCTGCCCGGGAGCGCCGCGCATGCATGGTGCCGCCCCCTGCGCCGGCTGAGGCGTAGCTGGCAAGCGGCAGAGACGGAGCAGGCCGACCACCGGCTGGGCCACCAGCTGGCCCAGCCCAAGGGAGGTAAGGCACCCGCCAGGCCCCACGCACTCCAGCAACCCTCCCTGCGCCCGTCGGCCTCCCACCTCCCACCCCTGGCCCTCTTTTGCTTACATTTTTAGTAGTTGCTCAGTAGGGAGGGATGGAAGCTTCCAGACAGCTCGCCTTCGCTGCAGACAACTTGCAGCACTGTTTGCAGAATGGGACTTTTGGCGGGCTCAGCAGGGCAGAGACAGCCTGGACAATTCCTATTGGCTTTTGAAAGACAATAGAATTAGACTCCATTCAAGAGAGTCTATTCTATTGGCTTTCAAAAGCCAATAGAATAAAAGGGAGTATCACAGCTAAGGAAAAGGGGAAAAAATGGCAGACTGTGTTATTTGGCGCCCCCGTGAAATGGTTGTTCGACCCCAAATGGGGTCGCGACCCACAGGTTGAGAACCACTGCTCTAAAAGAAGGCAAATGACCAGCTGTCTGCAAGGAGTATAAATCTTTCCATTCCCCCACCATTCAGTCAGAGCTGAAGAAACGTCTTAGATGAGAAGCGAAACATCTTCAAAGAAAAATAAGAAAGTCCAGTTGCCTCCTAAAAAAAAGACACCTTTGGGACCACCATGACCTGGATGACCGAGAATCTCCGTAGACCAGATTTAGTTGGTTGTTTCACAGATCGTTTCATTGATAAATCTTCTGGGCTTGGAATAATTTTCAAGTAATTCTTAGGTAGAAGCAATGTGTAGTCATTGACGTAAAGCAGGGGTGTCAAACTCGTCAAACTCGACGTGTCGTGATGTATCGCGACTTTTCCCCCATTGCCGGAGCTGGGGTGGGCGTGGTTTCAGCATGACACATCCGCCCTGTGGGCCTGGCAGTTTGACACCCCTGCCTGAAAGGACACGCCAAGAATCCCTTTGCATTCTCTTGCAAAGACTTTAAGACTTGTGGACTTCAACTCCCAGAATTCCCCAGCCAGCAATGCTGGCTGGGGAATCCTGGGAGTTGAAGTCCACTCACCTTAAAGTTGTCAAGGTGGAGAAACGCTGTGTCAGAGGTGCCATCAAACGCTTGAGCTTCGCATTCACTATCTGCCAGCCTGCCGTGGATTATGGGGGGGAGGGAGCTGGGCGAAAGGGGGGGAAGGCAAACAACTCATTGTACCTTCCAGAGATACCACCTCAAGGTCAAAGCCCTGGAAATGGAACTAGCCCGCCATTGAAGAGATTGTTCCCAAAACAATTTATTCAAATGCAGTTGGACAAAAAGGGGCCAGTAAAAGGGAGGAACTGGATGGGAGAAAGTTAACCAGGAAACGTTGGCAGGCCGACTTCAGTTCTGGCTTTTCTATACTGTGTTCCACTTGGCTTTTAGTAAAGTATACCTTTCAACACAAAAGGAGTCAAAGGTCTTCCTTGCGTAAAGGACCATCTTGGGGCAGGTCTGACACACTGGTCCTGATCCCATGTTCTGTGTGCAAAAAAAGACGGACCGTGTCATTGTTAAAGGCAAAGTGTATTTTTTTTCCTGCTGTAGGTTAGAGTCTTCCGAACCACCCAGTCCCACTCCACCCGAGCCATTGGAACAGCAGCCCACTCCCCTTTATCATGACATCTGGAGCCTACGGGCATCGCTAGAAAAGTGTGTTTCATCAGAGAAGGGCAACGATCAGGACTCGGCGCCCAGCGATGGTGGGGACAGCGTTTCCTCGAATGGCGGGCTACCAAGTTTCTCTTCCTCCTTGGCCGATGAGGCTGAAGCCGGAGAGGACAGGTCCTTGGCGAAACCCAAACAGGATAGTGTTGAGTTGGAAGCCGGGACCCGTAAACTCTTGCAGATGGATAGCGGCTACGCCTCCATTGAGGCCCCCAGCGGACGAGTAGGAGAAGACCAGACCGCCTCAGAGAAACGTTTCTGCTTCACCAGCGCTGGACGCAAGGCCACCATCTTTGAGAGCTTTGAGGGACAGGAGCGAGAAGAAGAGGAGGAGGAGGAAGAGGAGGAAGCAGCTGGCGCTGTTGGAGGTCTCCTCCCTTCCAGTCCATTGCTCTGGGCGCCGTACGGGCAGATGTTCCCAGCACGAGAATCCTTCTCTCGCCGGGACTACAGCATCGATGAAAAAACAGACGCCCTTTTCAACGCCTTTGTCTGCCATGACCCCCAATTCGATGAATCTCCCCTGCGGGCCAAACACCGCTCCCGGACCCATTTGAGGAAGCAGTGGCAGCGTACCAAGCAGTACAGTGACCCCGGCGTTCGCTACCCCACAGCCCTGGAGAGGCACCGGACCCCCTTGCGTCGGGGTGACAGCGTTAACTACCCCCTGGAAGGGCGCTACCACAGCACCCTGCCCCGCATTGTCAGCTCTGGGGATGAGGAGGTAGCCTCCCCCGCCGCAGAAACAGGGGACAAGATCCAGGCGATTGAGGAAGAACCACCGGAGGAGGCCAAAACGGGATCCAACCTATACAGCAGGGACTGTCTCGAAGGCGGTCAGTGTCCAAGGCTGGGCACAGAACTTCTGGACAAGATCGCGGGGGGGCTGGAGGACATGTTTTTCACCCACTTGAAAAAACCACGAGAGAGTCTAGAGTGTGTGGTGGTGGTGGCTGCCCGGGCTTCCCCTGATCACAGCCCCGAATAGTGGCAAGGGGACGCACTGGGATGACCCTTTCTCTGTCTCGCCCCGGGGCTGGGGGATGTCACGCAGGGCCTGCCAGCCAGCTGGGAGGCAGGGCGCTCCATGGGCCCGAGGGCGCGGAGCGAGATTGAGGAACGCCCTCCTGCACTGACAGCCTTCCGCTGTGTACGAGGCAGCCCCACCTGGAGGTCCCCTTGAGGGTTGAGAAGGTCCAGGGCTGAAGACATGGCCAGCGGAGAGCCCTGTCTCGCTGGTCAGAAGACGGAGCCTACCAAGGACCTGGGGAACCTCTGGCTGGATCCATCCATGCCTTTCCAGCAGGGGCCCGGAAGGTGGGGGAGCACATCTCAAGAGGGGGGGGAAACCTTCCCTTTTGGGGGGTCTCTGAAGAGCGCAGGGTGTCCGCTGGAGCCGAAGGGCCTTTTCTTCCTTCTGGTTAGATCCAGGGGTGGGGACGGGAGAGCCCACGGAATCTCTCCCCCCTTTTGAAGCAGGTTTGCCAAAGTCGGCGTATCTCTTGCACAGCCAGGAAGTTTTAAGTTTTCAGGGGCTCGTTCTCGAGGATAATAAATAATAATAATAATAAATAATAACGAGAGAAAACAGCCCCCAAATCTACCGGAGGCCTGACATACCTCACACTCTTAAGAGCTGGTTGTAGCAGATAATTTCAGCGCCTTCCACCGTTCCTCTTGCACAGCTCTCTCTCTCTCACTCTCTTCTCTCTCTCTCTGGTTTTTTACAAGCAATAACCTGTCCTCCTCCCCCCCTCCCCGTCAGCAAAGCCATCTTTGCTCAAGGGTCTTTGTGGAGGGAGGGGCCAGCTTGGCCTTCCAGGTGGGGCAGAACCCCCCCCCCCCATTTCAGCCCACAGACGGACAGACATGTTTCTCCACCGAGGTCCTTTTTGTGTGGTGTGATGCGTGGAACAGTTTACGTTTTCTCGAGTTGACGGAATCTGCCTATTCCTGGGTGGGTGGGGGAATGTGGGGGGCTGGTAGGGGACCCCGAAACAAAGCACGCTGCTTGAAGGATGAATAGCACAATTCTCTCTCTCTCTTTCTCCTTCTCTTCCTGTTCCCTCCCACCCACCTAGCACCTTTTTACCAGTTTTGAAGGCTTGTTTTTCACACTTTTCCAGCTGTTCCTTGGGTTCCATATTTTTTTTCATACTCCTCTTTTCCATGGTTCACTCTGCATCTTCCAACCATCCTGTTTTGGTCCAGGGCTATCGCTTGCTTTTGGGATTTTCTTGCTGTTTTGATGCAAAAAGGACCGGCTGGCATTTTGGGGTGATGGATCAGTTTCCGGTCTTCTGGACTGGTTGAAAAAGACGCAGAGGAAGTGTGACCCCTTTCTTGGGGTGGTGAAGAATATTATTGTTGTTGCTTGGGAGAGAAGAATTATTAGCATATGCCCCGTTCTTTATTATTCCTTATTCTACAAGTTCCCCTTCTCCATCTATATGCAAAGCAGGTGTTGCTTTCGATTATTGTTATTATTTATTTCTGTGTGCGTGCGTGCGTGTATGTGTGTGCACGTTTTCCCCAGGGCAGGTATTCCTTTTGTGGCATCCTTTAAGCAGGGGCTGGGGAGCCTTTCTTGTGTTATTTATTTATTTATTCATTGGCTTGGCTTTTTAATTTAATCTTTCCGGAGAGTGGTGGAATAGTGAGGTGGAAAAAAAAATGGGGGGGGGAAGGTTCATCTCTCCCATTTCCTTTTGACCCCCCCCACCCTCCTTCCAAGCATCCTTTTCCTGTGGCAATCTGTAAAATGAAAAACCACTTTAAATTTTAATTCCCCCCCCTCCCACACACCACCTTTAATGCCACTCCTTTCTCTGTCTTTAGGCTTCAGATATTTGCAAAGATGGTTGTTGTTTTTTTTAAATTGCATGTCAGGTTAAAAAGGGAACGATGATGCGTTCCGCTTCTCCAGTTTTGAATCGTGCGGGTCCAAAGCTGTTTTTTGGTGTGTGTGTGTGTGTGTGTGTGTGTGTGTGTGTAATTGATTTTGTGGGTGGGTGCCACAATTGAGGAGAAAGTGAGGGGCTGAGCATGGAGCATGTGGGTGTGTTGGCACACACACACAGGCACGTGTCACACAGATGTACAATTTCCTTCTGTTTTCGAATCTGCCTCGGCTGTTACCCTCCTTTGCCAGGAGCTTGGCTGCAGTAAGCACAAAGCCTCTGCCCCCCCCCAACTCAACTGCCCCGTGGTGGCACGCGCAACATGCAAACCACAAAATTCTTTCGATAATGAACATTATTAAAAAAAAAAAACATGTGCCAAGAACAGGTCTCGGAGCACAAATCGTATTTGTCTGGGAGGGCACCTCGACCGAGATCTTAAGACTGAGTTTAGCCAAGGAAAGACGGTGCCTGCAGTCTCATTTCCTGCAACTCTGTGGCTTTCTGTCTACCAAAAAGACCTCTGATTCTGCTTTGTGTCCCTTTCTGTGGCTTCAAAGAGGCCATGTGCTGAAAGAGCAGGAGACCAGCTTCTCTAGGGGTATTCATTTGATTCGAGGCAGCCATTCGCTTTAGGTGCAAAAAGGCACTTTGGGAGTAGAAAGGTAGCCCCCGTTTCCAACCCCAATGAAGAATTGAATCTTTTTTTGGGGGGGGAGGGGACTCTGAAGAAGCCCTTTTTGTAAATGAATCCAGCTTACTGCACATATATTTCCTTCCTTCTTTTATTTCCACTAAGCCTTAGGATGCACCTTTCCATCAGCATGGAAGCATTCACAGGGAGTCCCCGACAGGACCCTACAGCAGTGTTTCCCAAACTTGACAATTTTAAGGCATGTGGACTTCAACTCCCAGAATTCCACATGCCTTAAAATTGTCAAGTTTGGGAAACACTGCCCTACAGGTAATCCTCAACTTACGCAGTTCGTTTAGTGATGGTTCAAAGTTGGGACTTATGCCTGTTTTACACAGGACCATTGCAGCTTCCCCTAGTCACGTGATCAAAATTCGGATGCTTGGCAACTACCTGTATTTATGGCGGTTGCAGTGTCCCCTCTGTGTGTGTTACTAACTTAACTGCTGCAGCGATCCACTTAACAACAGTGGTAAAATGGGGCAAACCTCACTTAACAACTGCCTTCTTAGCAATGGAAATTTTGGGCTAGCCATAATGGAGCCTGCCCATTATGGGCGCATGTTGCAACTATCCTGAATCAGGTCAGTCACTTGACTGACTCTATTTTAAACCTTTTTTTTTTTGCAGTGGTAAGCAAAGGTGGCGGTCATAAGATGAGCACCGTGGCTGTGAAGTGAACATATTGTTCACTATGGTGCGGTTTTGCCCAAAATTGTCAGCAAAACCGTTACAAAACACTGGGATACTTTAAAGCAGGGGTCTTCAAACTTGGTCCTTTTGTGACTTGTGGACTTCAAGTCCCAGAATTCCTCAGCCAGCGTGCCTAGCTGAGGAATTCTGGGAGTTGAAGTCCACAAGTCATAGAGGGGCCAAGTTTGAAGACCCCTGCTTTAAATGGCCTTAAATGCAGCTATATTGCTGAGCGCCTGGTACAGCCACGTGACAGTGGGTGAGGGTCTGGCCTTCACAACACAGCTGTAACTCCCTTTTTTCCCAGGTAGATCATAATATCAACTAGTCACAAAGTGACCGGTCATAAAATGAGGATTACCTGTATTTCTAAACCATAGAAACGGGGTATTTGCAGAGGTGATTCTTAGAACTGCACAGGAAAATCTCTTGGGTGTGATCAGAAAGAATTAAGATGGGAGCCACAGGGCTGGAATGAAATTCTGTCTGCTTTTTTATGGGCGCTGTGATTTTTTTTAGAACCACATGCTACGGACAGACCAGCACAGGTGGAAAAATGCATGCTTCCAACACAGAAGACCTGAATATTTATCATCTGGTGCCCTCTTTTCAAGGGGGCTGGGAATTCTGGGTTTGGCAGTTCCAGACTAGGGAGAAAGTGCCTGTTGGGGTTAGGAATGCAATTGCTATTTTTTTTTGGGGGGGGAAATTAGTTTCATTTTGCCTCCCATTTGCCTGTTTATTTTGAGTGGCTCTGTTCATTTAGGTTTGCTGTCACATTGGGCCACCTTTCTGGGGTCACCTGGGCAGGTTGTTTTTGAAGTCATGGCCCCGCTTATTTGCAGCGCCTCCAAGTATGGCTTGCCACAGTTTGAAGCGGCATTCTTCAACCTCTGCCACTTGATGCCGCCCATCCTCAAGTGACCATTGTTTTGAAGACCGATCCCACCCTAAAGACACCCCCCCCTTGCAGATCATTACATTTAAACCGTCCATTGCTGGATTTTGTAGTTCCTGAGCAAACCAAACAGACCATCTTGCAAACCTCATAAGCGGGACCTGGATCTGTTTTCTCTCCCCATAGCTAGGCATCCTAGTTTGTTGGACTCTAGCAGCGAGGCAGGTCAAGCTTCGCTATAAAGGAAAGATGGCTGGCCACAGAAATAAGATGGAAAACACACGTGGTGTCTAGAGTAAGCAGGATTGGGCCTGTGGCCAACCACTGAACAAGTTCAACTCCATCCTGCATGGGTAAAAATTCAAATTAAAGCACCTTGGATTGACGGCTGCCCAGCCCACTAACACAGCCATAGCCATCTTGTCTGTGGGATACGGGTTCTCCTGTACAACTGCTCTTGCTGCTAAGATTTATTTTAAATTTCTTTTGGTCTTTCGTTCGCATCTCCATTTTGTGACTTAAATCCGTTGTTGAGCCTCCCCTGTAGAGGATGAAGACCAGGTCTTCTACAATGGCTTTGCCAACCTTGTTCGCCTCAACACTGGTGGACTTCAACTCCCAGAATTCCTCAGCCAGCATGCTGCAGCAACGGATGCAGGCTAGCTGAGGAATTCTGGGAGCTGAAGTCCACACCTCTTCAGGTGGGCCAGGTTGGTCTAGCTGCAGATATCCTTCCAAGGATTTGAAGAGGGCTATTTCCTGCTTTTTACTCATCTAGGCTACACATTTTCTTTAATGGATACGAGTATTGTGGGTTTGGCGAGGATTGGGAGGCCCATTAAAACCATATCACGCCATTAAAGGAGGGGGGGCGGGGTCCTGCAAAGTGTAGTTAAAAAAACTCAAGATGGCAGCTATGACAGTGCCATCAAAGCTCCATATATTCATGCGTGTTGTGCACATAAAAATTGCTTTGATCGTAATGGCCACCATCTTGACTTTGTTTGACCCCACCCTGGAGGCCCTCTGAAGTGACTTCCTGTTATTATTTCTCATTTGGAATTTAGACTTCCGCTAATGTCGCCCAAGTCTGTCTTTCCTTTTCTGGCATCCATATCAACCCATTTTCTCATACTCCATGATCAACTAGTACTCTAAAATGTTTTTTTCCACACGTTCCATTGCTAAGCTGGGGCATCCTCCCCCCCTCCCTCCCCCCATCTCTCTGTTCACTGGATTTTTGCTTCCAAAGTGACAAAACTCTGCATTTGTGTTAACATTGAATTGTTACTTTCAGCCCATTTCAATAAAACTCTCGAAAACCTTTTGAATTTTATTGCAGTCTTCTACTCGACTTTGCTCATCTTTTCAGCAAACCTTCTGGGTTTTAAAGGGTGCTGGAATGAGATTCAACCTTCTATTAAGCTTCATAGTGACCCATTTCATGCAGCCCTTATATCGTATTGACCAAGCTAACCTGAGTGATGAAAAGACAGAAACATGCTTAACTATGTTTTGGTCAAGAGCTGGAATTGAGCCTGAGGTAAAACTATATGAAACAAGAAGGAATAGATGGAAGCAAGTCAGAGGGAGATCCAACTTGGAAATGAGGAATTTCCCAACAATGAGAACCATCAGTGGAACGGCTTTCCTTCGGAGGTTGTGGGCGCTCCATCGTTTTCAAGAAAAGATTGGGCAGCCAATTGTCTAGGATGGTATAGGGCAGGGTTAGAGTGCAGTGCTGCAGGCCACTTTAGCTGACTGTGTTCAGCAGGTCAGCGGTTCAAATCTCACCGGCTCAAGGTTGACTCAGCCTTCCATCCTTCCGGGGTAGGTAAAATGAGGACCCAGATTGTTGGGGGCAATGTAAATATATACATACATTGCTTACTGGTGTACACCGCTTAGAGAGTGCTTGCACTTAAAGCGGTATATAAGTCTCATAAATAAATAAACAAACAAACAAACCAGGGGTGCTTAACCCTCTGGGGGTGTGAGACAATATTCCATGGGGTGCGAAAACTTGGGTTTTCAAAATTATAGTGTATATGCAAAATTCATCGCCATTATTTCGAACTTTTGTAAGGGGTGCGAGAATATATCAAGCATTCTAGGGGTGTGGGGGATAGAAAAGGTTGGGAGCCGTTGGTATAGAGTCTCATTCTTGAGCAAGAGGGTGGACTACAAGACCTCTGAGGTCCCTTCTACCCTTATCAGTCTATGACCCTATGGATGGAGGCTGCACAGCATACCAAATGCAAACAGCCAGCTTGTGGTTCAGTGTGGTGCTGACAGCACCACAAAGTTCTCCTTAAGATATGGATTTACACAACATAAATCTTGCTACTACTGTATAGTAAATCACTAGCACACAAGGATGCATGGATTCCTAGGCGGAACATAAAGCATGATTTCGAAAATAGTAAACCTTTACTCAACTAATGTGATTGTCTGCTGTCAGGGTTAAAAAGAGCTAAACAGGTACCTTAGGACATTGAGGTCCACCATCCTTATGATTGCCCTTTAGGTCTTGGTCCTTTGCAAAGCCCAAGGGCAGGAGAAGACTTAGGAGATGGAATTGGCAGGGAAGCAGTTACTTCTGACTTCCTTCCATTTAAGAACTACTCAATGGGAATGCAGCCTGTCAAGAGACAGTCTCTACTTTCTAAAGCAGGAGTCCCTAACCCAGTGTTTCCCAAACTTGACAATTTTAAGGCATGTGGACTTCAACTCCCAGAATTCCACAGCCAGCATTGCTGGCTGTGGAATTCTGGGAGTTGAAGTCCACATGCCTTAAAATTGTCAAGTTTGGGAAACACTGCCCTAACCTATGGGCCGTGGGACAAGCTGGCCAGTGCTAGTGCCTGTGGACCTGTTTGCGCCTGCGCGTGGGGCTAGCAGTGGTGGCTAGCGCCTGCGCAAATGGGGCCACTAGTGTGCATGTGGGTAACATGGCCCATTTGCACCTGCGCGTGGGAGCTAGTGCCTGTATATGCGCAAATGGGGCCGCTAGCACTGTGCGGGTTGCATGGCCCGTTTGCCCATGCGTGCGGGGCTAGCAGCAGCATCTAGTGCCCGCAAACAGGGCCGCTAGCACCCTGTGGGTGTGTGAGGCCCCGTTTCTGCACATGTGTGCGTGCGCAAATTTCCCAGCTGCTCCTTTTCCCTCCAGGCCGCCAGCATGAAAAGATTGGAGCCGAGGTGGCGCAGCAGTTAGAGTGCAGTACTGCAGGCCACTTTAGCTGACTGTGTTCAGCAGGTCAGCGGTTCAAATCTCACCGGCTCAAGGTTGACTCAGCCTTCCATCCTTCTGAGGTAGGTAAAATGAGGACCCAGATTGTTGGGGGCAATGTAAATATATATACATTGCTTACTGGTGTACACCGCTTAGAGAGTGCTTGCACTTAAAGCGGTATATAAGTCTCATAAAATAAATAAATAAATAAATAAATTGGCGACCTCTGTTCTACATCAATGTTTCTCAATCATGGCAAGTTGAAGGTTGGTGGACTTCAATTCCCAGAATTCCCCAGCCACATGTTTTAAGATGTGTGGGACTTCAACTCCCAGAATTCTCCAACCAGCAGGGCTGACTGGGGAATTCTGGGGGTTGAAATCCACGCATCTTAAAATAGCTAAGGCTGGGGTACGCTGCTTTAACCGGTTTTGCAAAAGATTGAATTAGATGAGTTTGGGGATCCCTTCCTAGAATTATTAATTCACAATTCCAGGTAAAATGCCCCTTTCTCCTGCGCTTTCTTCCTTAGTGACAGAAAAGGCGCCGCACAAAACTGACTCCGTAGAATCCACGTCTCCATTGAATCTTTATTTTCTTTTTAAAAAAAGGAAAAAACAAAAACCAGAAAAGCACTTTTCCCTTTGCTCCAGCCCTTATAAACAGCATGCAGATTTTTTTTGTATATATATATATATATATGTGTGTGTGTGTGTGTGTGTGTGGGTGTGCGTGGGTGTATGTGTTTTGTTTTATTCATAACGGAATGGGGAGGCTGTTCATGTTTTAATTTTAAAATACTTATTTGGGTTCTTGTCCCTTCGTCCCCGCCACATCGTAACGGATAAAGTAGTCCTTAAAGATATTGCAAAGGAAAAAATAAAGGAAAGGACGGGAATCAAAAAGAGAAAAATAATATCTTATATCTCTATATATATATCTATATCTATATATATCTATATATATACACACACACACAGTCACACACACACACACACACATATATAATATATATATATATATATAATATAACAGTAGTCTACTACATAAAGTGCGTGTTGATGGCTTGCAAGTTTCCAAACACACCTGGGAAGGTAGCAAAAGAGGATTTGCAGGAGGGACACCACTCTTTAAAGACCACTCACTGCCTCTCCCCCCTCCCATCACTGCTCCCCAATGCACCCCCCAGAAAAGAGTCCGGGTTTATCTGGGTCACACAAAGCATCGCAGTCAAAGAGGAGCCTGGATCCCATCCGACAAACCACAGTTAAGCTTATTTCAAAAAGAAAAGTCATGTAGAAGGAGGTCACAGGTGGGTTGCAAGTCACTGTCCAATTTTTCCCTTGGGTTTGACTCATTAAAAAGACCAAATGAAAAAAATAAAATAAAATAAAATAAAATTCACCCCTTCTCCTTCTTCTTGGTTTCATTGCAAGCTTGTTCTACAGGTGATCTGTTACAGGTGGATGGGTAGAATGGAGGAGAACCCCGATGGATGAGATCGGGGTGCAAGGCTGCTTAGGGCAGCAGACAATCTGGAACTCAGGCTGTAAAGAAGGAAAAAAAAAACATTATAGTTTATCTGCTTCCAACCTGTTAAGCACAAGAAAAGGAAAAAAAAAAAAGAGTAAGCACCATAGGTTATGGGTTACAGGTAGTCCTTGACTTACGACCGCAAGGGGTGGGGGTGGGGGCAGAATTTCTGTTGCTAAGCAAGGCGGTGATTAAGCTGCAGTCTGTGAGGTTAAACACACAAAGTCTCTTCCCCATTGGTTTTGTTTGTTGGAGGCTGGTAGGGAAGATCAAATATGGTGGTCAAATGACCTGGGGGTGCCGTAGCAGCCATAAATACAGGCTGGTGGTTAAATGCCTGAATTTTGACCATGGGCAGGGATAGGCAGCCTTGGCTCTTTTATGACTCGTGGACTTCAACTCCCAGAATTCCTGAGCCAGCCATGCTGAGGGGAAAGGGAGAGGTTCCCAAGCTGAGCCATGCTGGCTCAGGAATTCTGGGAGTTGAAGTCCACGAGTCATAAAAGAGCCAAGGTTGCCTACCCCTGTTCTATGGGAACCAAGGTCATTACTGATTGCATTCTGGCGGCTGGAATACCCGTGGTTAGTAACAATTGGTGCATGTAATGAATGACAGCTTATTGGGGTGGGAATTGCAACTTTGCAACGTTGTGTCTAGGGGGAGGGGATTTCAGTCTTGGGTTCACCTTTGTACGTGCCAGTATTTTGTAGCCAAATAAATATGTTCTTTAAGGAAGAAATCTTCACCTTGAAGTTCTTTTAACTGGTTTCATCTATGACATTGCCACTAGCCCCCAATAAAAGTTTCCTGTTGAGACACTGCCTGTTTCAAGAGTTCGGCTTTCTTGGGTGGCTTAGCTGAGGTGGGTCCTTACACTGTTGTAACTTTGAACCGTCAGTAGACAAACAGTTGGTAAGTTGAGGACTTACCTTTCTGTACAATGATAAACTGAAAGTCATTAACAAAACCAACTCAAATCCAAGTGGAATTCACTAAGCCTTTAGGGCCACAGAGGAATTCAGAAAGGTAAGGATTGCAGGTAGACCTCGGCCTATGATCAGATCCATTGTTAAACAAAGTGGTTGTTAACTGAATCATATCTTCTAGCAAAAGCAATAGTAATAGGCACCTTGGGTGCAATCCCAAAACAACTGGAGCACCACTTGAACACCATCATTTGGCATTGACAAATTCGCCATTAGTCAATTGCAAAAGGCGGCCTTACTAGGAACCGCTTCCATCCTGCGACGATATCTGTAATACCATCAAACATCCACATCTGCCTCTCCCAGATCCTTGGGAAGGACTCGATAGGTAGACAAAAATGCCAAATCCAGTCTGAATATCTGGCTGACTGTGCGATGATCCGTAATAATAATAATAACAACAACAACAACAACAACAACAACAACAACAACATCCAGAATCAGAAATAACAGAACAGAGACTAGCAGATCAACGCCGATTTATAACACGAAATAAAGTATTCACAGAAACAGAATTGGACAAACTGCAAAGGTTTACCCAGGGCAAAGAAATCAAAGCCTTACCAGAAGTAATTCAGAATGTAGAGGCAAACCAGGGGGAAGTTGGCAGTGAAGGAATCCAGCAGAGATATACAACTGTTCTCATTTGGAAACCAGGCACCTCTACCTCAGGAAGAACAAAACCCTCTAACTAAAGAAATAAAAGAATTGAAACAAAGAATAACTGAGCATCACAAAAACAACAGAATAAGGCTGCCTGCATTGAAGCTCGTTCCAAAGAAACAGCTAGCACAAGCATTAAAAGATGCAAATACTGCAATATCAAGTATAAGCACCAATTCACTGCAAGAAACAAACCAACTAATGTACAGCACAGCTGCAGTACAGATTTTGCAGATTTTGCATCCCAGTACTAAATACCTGGGATGCAAAATCAACAAAGAAGAAAAACAAACAAACAGTGCACCAGAAAAATGGAAGGTTAGACTAGAAAATAAGATCAGCAAGTTAAGATCACATGCAAGCAAGCTAGAACAGATGAAAGAAAAGAAGCTGAAGAACAAGAAGACAAAAGAATACCTAATCAAGAAATACCACTTAGAAACAAGGAAGATCAAGGAAGCACTGGAAATAATAAAGCAACAAATAACAGCTATAGCAAGGAAAATCAGTAGATATGAAGCTCGAATTGCAAAATATAGGCAGAACCTCCAATTTCAATCCAATCAGAAACGTTTCTACCAATCCATCAATGGAGAAACTGCAAGGAATCAGTCAGTACCTGACAAGCAAGAAACAGTGCAGTTCTGGAAGCAGATATGGGATAACCCAAAGAAATACAACAAGGATGCGGCTTGGTTAAAAGAGTTGGATGCAAATAAAACAGAAGTTGAAATGAAAGAACTAGTAATAACAACAAAAATGGTAGAAAAAAGAGCAAAGAAAATCAAAAATTGGTCAGCACCAGGTGAAGATGAACTGCATGGGTTTTGGTTGAAACATCTAACTGTTATACACCCATTCATTTCCAAGCAGTTCAACAATATACTACAAGGAGGAGAAATTGAAAAGTGGCTAACAACTGGGAAAACCTACCTAATAATGAATAATAATAAATAAATAAATAAATAATAAATAAATAATAAACCTACCTAATAATGAACACCATTGGCATTGACAAATTCGCTATTACAGTGGTTCTCAACGTTTCTAATGCCACGACCCCATAATACAGTTCCCCATGTTGTGGTGACCCCCAACCACTTATACATCACTGGGTGCCAGGGGCGTGGCCAAAGAAAAGGGGGAAAAATGGCGGACAGCCTTGTTTGGCGACCCCCCGTGAAATGGTCGTTCGACCCCAAATGGGGTCCCGACCCACAGGTTGAGAACCTCTGCGCTATTAGTCAATTGCAAAAGGTGGCCTTACTAGGAACTGCTTCCATCCTGCGACGATATCTGTAATACCATCAATCATCCACATCTGCCTATCCCAGGTCCTGGGTAAGAACTCGATAGGTAGACAAAATGCCAAATCCAGTCTGAACATCTGGTTGCCTGTGCGATGATCCATAATAATAATCAGTTCAACAATATACTACAAGGAGGAGAAATTGAAAAGTGGCTAACAACTGGGAAAACCTACCTAATAATGAAAAATTCAGCAAAAGGGGCAACACCAGGTAACTACAGGCCAATTACCTGTTTACCAACAACTTTCAAATTATTAACTGGTGTGGTAGATGATGCAGTACAACAACATCTAATTGAAAACAATCACTTTCCACCTGAGCAAAAAGGAAACCGCCCCAATAGCAGAGGAACAAAAGATCAACTCCTAATAGACAAAATGATCTTGGGAAACTGCAAGAAAAGGAAGACCAACCTGAATGTGGCATGGATTGACTACAAAAAGGCATTTGACTCTCTGCCACATGAATGGATAATCAAGTGCCTAGAAATAACAGGAGTCAGTAGAAACATCAGAAAATTTGTGCAAAGATCGATGGCACAGTGGAAGACACAGTTGCAGATCAATGGTGAGAGGCTGGGAGAGGTTAATATCAAGAGAGGAATATTTCAAGGAGATTCATTATCACCATTACTATTTGTTATTGCACTGTTTCCTCTGTCAACAATACTGAATAACTCAGGACATGGCTATCAAACATCAAAAACATCTGCCAGACTATCCCACCTCCTTTACATGGATGATCTGAAGCTGTATGGAAAAACATCATCTGAAATAGAATCGCTGCTCAACACTGTCCGTATATATAGCCAAGATATTATAATGGAGTTTGGCTTGGACAAATGTGCCACACTTACTATCAAACAAGGAAAAATAGTGAAAACTGAAGGAATCAAGATGCCCCACGAAAATAGCATTAAGAGTCTGGATGAGGAAGAGTACTACAAATACTTGGGTATCCTTCAAGCTGACAACATCAAGCACACTGAAGTCAAGAAAAAAGATTAGAGGTGAATACATCAAGAGAGTGAAGAAGATCTTAAAGTCCAAACTCAATGGAGGAAATACCATAAAGGCAATCAACACCTGGGCAATCCCAGTCATTAGGTACACAGCTGGAATAGTGGACTGGACTCAAGCAGAACTAAAAGCAATGGATAGGAAGACCAGCAAAATAATGACAATGAATCATGCCCTTCATCCACGCAGTGACATTGACAGACTTTATCTACCAAGGCAAATAGGGGGGCGTGGAATGCTACAAGTACATCAGATGGTTGAAGAAGAAAAAATGGCTTTGGAAGAATATCTGAAGAACAATGATGAAGATGCACTGAAATTAGTATATCAGGAAGGCTTACTGACTACTGGAGAGACCAAACTGGCCTACAAGAAAGACCAAATGAAGAACAGAATAGAGGCATGGGAGGACAAAGCACTACATGGCCAATACATGAAAAAAAATAGCTGGGAAAGCAGATAATAATAAAACCTGGCAATGGCTAAGAGCAGGAAAATTGAAGAAAGAGACGAGGGACTAATTCTGGCTGCACAAGACCAAGCCTTAAGGACAAATGCATACAAAGTCAAAATTGAGAAGACAGCAACAGACAGTAAGTGCCGCCTATGCAAAGAAGCTGAAGAAACAGTGGACCACTTGGTAAGCTGTTGCAAGAAAATTGCACAGACTGATTACAAGCAGCGGCATGACAAAGTAGCAACAATGGTGCATTGAAAGATCTGCAAAAAATATCATTTGCCTGTAAGCAAAAACTGGGGGGATCATAAAATAGAGAAAGTCATAGAAAATGATAAAATTAAACTGCTCTGGGACTTCAGAATTCAAACAGACAAGCACCTGCAACATAACACCCCAGACTTAACAATTGTTGATAAGAAAGACAAAAAAGTCTGGATAGGGACGTGGCAGTGCCTGGAGACAGCAGAATAGACGAGAAAGAACTGGAGAAGATAACAAAATACACAGACCTCCAAATAGAAATAGAAAGACTGTGGCAAAAGCAAGCAAGGGTAGTACCAATAGTCATAGGCTCCTTGGGTGCAATCCCAAAACAACTGGAGCACCACTTGAACACCATTGGCATTGACAAATTCGCTATTAGTCAATTGCAAAAGGCGGCCTTACTGGGAACTGCTTCCATCCTGCAACGATGTCTGTAATACCATCAAACATCCACATCTGCCTATCCCAGGCCCTACGTAAGGACTCGATAGGTAGACAAAATGCCAAATCCAGTCTGAACATCTGGCTGACTGTGCGATGATCCATAATAATAATAATAATAATAATAATAACAATAATAATAATAATAAAGTTGGAAGGGACCTTGGAGGTCATCTAATCCAACCCCCTGCTCAGGCAGGAAACCCTATACCATTTCAGACAAATGGCTCTCCAGTTACTAATGTTAAAGGAGACAGCTGGAGGTTCGCCATACTTATCCCCATTAAAGTCAGGAGGTCAAAGATCCCTGTGAGCGTTGGTAAAGATAATGAACAAGCAGCTGCAAAGAGGTCTAACACGATCGAAATCCCAATTGCAGAATCATGACAATCAGACGACAAGCAGAAAATATTTTTCATGCTATATCAGAAAACTGCCCGTAATTTGAAAGATTATGCTTTTAAGCCAGTGCTTCTCAACCTTGGCGGTTTGAAGATGGGTGCACTTCAACTCCCAGAATTCCTCAGCCTTCTGGGAGTTGAAGGAGCTGAGGAATTCTGGGAGTTGAAGTCCACCAATCCTCAAGCCGCCAAGGTTGAGAAGCGCTGCTTTAAGCAATTTAGACTAAGCTGAGGTTGAACTAAGGACAATGAAACCAGGGTTACCATCTAACATGTCTAGCTTGGAGGAAACCGAGAGATGTCATGCCTGTGAAGGGCAATCAAAAGAGACAGAGTGAAGCCCTGCTCTCTGCTCTGATCCGTGGGGGAAGGATCCCACTGAAAAGGACTACATTACGGGAGGATGGATTCTAGTTAAGGATTAGGAGGAATTATGGCAAGAACAGGTCACTAATAGAGAGCTGGCTTAAAACGGGTTCAGATAGCTTGGAGGGCCCCTGAAAAAGGCTTCCTATCTCCAGATAAGATAAGAAAAGCAGATGGGATCGATCACCCACGCCAGATCTGATCTGGAGTACCGGTTGAGTTGCTGAAGGGACAGAAGCAGAATGAGAAATGTGGTCAGAAGGCAAGCTGAGAAAGGAGAGAGAGAAAGCAAGACAGAGAGGGGGAGGGAGGGAGGGAAAGGGAGAGAGGGATAAAGAGAGGAAGAGGGAGACAGAAAGGGAAAGAGGAGGGAGTGGGAAGGAGTGAGAGAGGGAGAGGGAGAGAAAAAGAGAGGGAAAGCGTGAGAGAGGGGTAGGCAGAGGGAGAGAGGGAAGGAGGGAGAGGAGAAAGGAAGAGAGAGAAGCGAGGGAGAAAGTGGGGGAGATGGAGAGAGGAGGAGAGGGAAGGACAGAGGGCGAGAGAAAGAGAGGGAGGGAGAGAAACGAGGGAGAAGGAGAGAGAGGGAGATGGAGAGAGAGGGGGAGAGGGAAGGACAGAGGGCGAGAGAAAGAGAGGGAGGGAGAGAAATGAGGGAGAAGGAGAGGGGGAGATGGAGAGAGAGGAGGGAGATGGAAGGACAGAGAGGGCGAGAGAAAGAGGGAGGGAGAGAAACGAGGGAGAAGGAGAGGGGGAGATGGAGAGAGAGGAGGGAGAGGGAAGGACAGAGAGGGCGAGAGAAAGAGAGGGAGGGAGGGAGAGAGAGAGTTTGTGTATAAGAGGGGAAAATTACATCAGGTTGAAGTGTGCAAATGTGACAAGGCCAGAATCCCGGGGGCGGAAAGACGCAGGAGGAGATGGATAATTGGGAATGGATGGGGAGGAGAGATGAGTTATGAAGCAGGAGAGTCAGAGACTGCTTTGAAAGAAGCATCCAGGGAGGAAACTGGCAACCGGAAGGGTGGAAAAGTCAAATGAACAAACAAGCAGCTAAGAAAGACCCCCAGCCAGAGCTTTGACACTGTTTGCAAAGGGGGCTCCCTTGTTGCCCTCCCCACACACATAGCAGCGGCAGGGATGGCAGCTTCACAATAAGGCAGTGGTTCTCAATCTTTCTAATGCCGCGACCCCATAATACAGTTCCCCATGTTGTGCTGACCCCCCAACCACTTATATATCACCGGGTGCCAGGGCCGTGGCCAAAGAAAAGGGGAAAAAAATGGTGGACAGCCTTGTTTGGCGACCCCCGTGAAATGGTCGTTTGACCCCAAATGGGGTCCCGACCCACAGGTTGAGAACCACTGCAATAAGGGGAAACAGACCACCCATTCGCAGACACACACCCAGAAGCACCTGGGTCTTCCCCAACCTGTTTGTCTCATTGCTTTGGAATTTTTATCTTCAAAAAAGAAAGGTAGGTGTGTGTGTGTGTGTGTGTGTGTGTGTGTGTGTGTGTGTGTGTGTGTGTGTGCCCATGCAGGCACAAAGGCCCTGGAGGCAAGATTAAACTCATATCCCCCACATCAGGACTACCGCATCTGTGGCAGCCAATCAAATTAAATCCTATAACGTGGAGTTTCCTTGTTCTGTATTAATTTTAAAAAAGGGCTGTGTGTGGGTAGGAGATAAGCTGAACCATCTCAAGTGGGAGGGGGGGGGTTGAAAAGAAGGCTTAGCTCCCCCCACACACCCGGCCTGACCCCTGGATTTGGCATGGGGCAAATGAAATATTCAGAGAAAGAAAATATGAAGCTGATTCCAGAGCAGGAGGTCTTCAAACTTGACAACTTTTAAGACTTGTGGACTTCAACTCCCTGACTGGCTAAGGAATTCTGGGAGTTCAAGTCCACAAGTCTTAAAAGTTGTCAAGTATGAAGACCCCTGTTGCAGAGTTTAAAACCAGTGTTTCTCAGCCTGGGCAACTTTAAGATGGGTGGACTTCAACTCCCAGAATGCCCCAGCCAGCGCATGTTAGAAAGAATGCAGAGAAGAGCAACAAAGATCATCAGGGAACTGGAGGCTAAAACATATAAGGAATGGTTGCTGGAACTGGGTATGTCTAGTTTAATGAAGAGAAGGACGAGGGGGGACATGATAGCTGTGTTCCAATATCTCAGGGGCTTCCCCAAAGAAGAGGGAGTCAAGCTATTCTCCAAAGCACGTGAAGGCAGGACAAAAAGCAACAGATGGAAACTAACCAAGGAGGGAAGCAACCTGGAACTAAGGAGAAATTTCCTGTCAGTGAGAACAATCAACCAGTGGAAAGGCTCACCTCCAGAGGTTGTGAATGCTCCAACACTGGAAGTTTTTAAGGAGATTGGGCAATAACTTGTCTGAAATGGTATAGGGCAGGGGTAGGCAATCTTGGCTCTTTTCTGACTCGTGAACTTCAACTCCCAGAATTCCTGAGCCAGCCACGCTGAGGGGAAAGGGAGAGGTTTCCAAGCTGAGCCATGCTGGCTCAGGAATTCTGGGAGTTGAAGTCCATGAGTCATAAAAGAGCCAAGGTTGCCTGCCCCTGGTATAGGGTTTCCTGCCTAAGCAGAGGGTTGGACTAGAAGACCTCCAAGTTCCCTTCCAACTCTGTTACTCTATTCCAGTGGTTCTCAGCCTGTGGGTCGGGACCCCATTTGGGGTCGAACGACCATTTCACAGGGGTCGCCAAACAACGCAGTCCGCCATTTTTTCCCCCTTTTCCTTAGCTGTGCTACTCCCTTTTATTCTATTGGCTTTTGAAAACCAATAGAATTAGACTCTCTTGAATAGAGTCTAATTCTATTGGCTTTCAAAAGCCAATAGGAATTGTCCAGGCTGTCTCTGCCCTGCTGAGCCCGCCAAAAGTCCCATTCTGCAAATGGTGCTGCACCAGTTGAGTAGTCCTCGACTTACAATCGGTTGAGTAGTCCTCGACTTACGACCGGTTGGGGGGTCGCGCCATTAAAAAGGTTGAGAACCACTGTTCTATTCCATTCTAAGATGGCAGTCACATTCTGACACAAAATTTTCATTCTGAGGGGGTCAGTCAAAGGGCTAATTGGGATCCTGAAGCCTCACAGAGGTTTAACCTTGTTGTAACCCCTTTGCAACCCTGATCTCCAAGCCACAGATCCAGATCTTAACTCCACCCACTTTGGGGACTAGGGAGGGTCTCTTCTGAGACGATTCCCCTGACCGTTTTCTCTGAGGGCTCAGCTGCCTGTTATCGGTTGTTGTGAATCTTGTCTCCCAAGGTCATTCACTCATACCGATTTTTTATCTGTTTATCAAACCTGTATGCCCATCTTGCCAAAGAGGGGGCTCTCGCTACAGAAGTCCTCAACTTAGAACCATTCGCTTAGCAACCGTTCAAAGTTACAACGGCATTGAAAAAGGTGACTTAAGACGTTTTTCACACTTACGACCGTTTGCCGCCTCCCCAGGGTCACATGATCACAATCCAGACCGCTTGGCAACCGGTTCATATTTACGACGGCTGCAGTGTCCCTTTTTGCCACCTTCTGACAAGCCAAGTCAAGGGGGAAAGGAGCCAGATTCATTTAACAACTGTGTTACTAACTTAAACAGGTCACAAAAAAACGGGGCAAAAACTCAACTTAACTCTCTGGTTTAGCAACAGAAATGTTGGTCTCCATTGTGGTCGTTAAGCCGAGGACTACCTGTACAGACGCTTCCCTCCCTGGGGCAAATCTGACTCCGAAAGCGGACTGAGTTTTATACGAACTGGGGGCGGGCAGTCCAGCTGGTGGTCACTGCTGCTTGCAGGTGGAGAGTTTGCGGATCTTGCTGCTGGCGGAAGAGGCCTTGTGGGAAGGGTTGGAAGAGGCGCTGGCCCGCCGCTCGGCTTTCGTCTTGCTGACCAGCTGACCGGACTCCGTCCCGTTCATGCAGACCGGTTTGGGCAGCCCCCTGGTGCAGCTCTGCCCGTTCTGCCTGGTCTCGTTCGGCACCTGCCCTGGAAGACACAAGGGAAAACTTTCTATGTCAGTACAGATAAAAGCTCTGTCCCCCCCCCGAGCACGTGCAGAAAGCCTTTCGCCTTCCTCCCGAGTCACCCCCTAAACTGGAATTTATTTAGAGAGGCGGCAAGCAAGGGAAGCGAAGCGTCAGTGTCAAAAAGCCAAATCCGGGGCCAATTTATTTGCAAAACACGATTTATCGTTAAGATAGGCCCTGTTTTAATGAGAGAAACGGGAGACACATTTAGAAACATATTTAGAACGGAACAAATGAAATAATTATGCAGAATAACTGTATTTCATAAGAACGCACCTCATAATTGTGTATGATAATTTTACCGTGGAGAAAATTGAGGGGGGGGGGGAGAGGGAACAATAGGTTGATTACAGGTAGTTCTCATTTAATGACTGGTTGCTAAGCAACTGTTCGAAGTTACAACAGAGCCTCCCCCCCCCCCCAAAAGCTACTTATCACCTGGTTCTTCGCCTTCCAGAGGTTGAAAAACTCCAGGCTAGCCCAAAGAAGAGAAAGCAAATGTAAGACATAAGAGCATTCTTCTAAAGCAGCGGCCCCCAACCTTTTGGGCACCAGGGACCGGTTCCATGAAGGAAGGTTTTTCCATGGATTGGAGGGGACTATTACAGGTGGTCCTCAACTTATGACAGTTGAGCCCAAACTTTCTGTTCTTAAGTGAGGTATTTGTTAAGCGAGTTCTATAGAGGAAGATTCAAACTTGAAATAAGGAGGACTTTTCTCACCAAGGGAACTTTTACGCTGAGGAAGTCTGCTTTCTGGAGTCAGTGGAGATTTTCAAGCAAACAACAGAATAACAGAGTTGGAAGGGATCTTGGAGGACTTCTAGCCCAACCCCCTGTTCAAGCAGGAGACCCTATACCAGGGGTAGGCAACCTTGGCTCTTTTATGACTCGTGGACTTCAACTCCCAGAATTCCTGAGCCAGCCACGCTGAGGGGACAGGGAGAGGTTTCCATGCTGAGCTATGTTGGCTCAGAAATTCTGGGAGTTGAAGTCCACGAGTCATAAAAGAGCCAAGATTGCCTACCTCTGTCCTATACCAAGGCTGGGCAGACATTTGTCTAGGCCAGGGGTAGGCAACCTCGGCTCTTTTATGACTCATGGACTTCAACTCCCAGAATTCCTCAGTTAGCATAGCTGACTATGCTATGCTGACTCAGGAATTCTGGGAGTTGAAGTCCATGAGTCATAAAAGAACCGAGGTTGCCTACCCCTGGTCTAGGCAGTCTGAGAATTCCAGCTCTGCGCAGGGGGTTGGACTAGAAGACCTCCATGGTCACTTTCAACTCTATGGTTCTAAGCATACAACTTTGTTCATTTGGGTCATTTTAAGGGTCTTTCTGGATAAGTTCAAGTGGTGATTCTCAAAATAAATTCTGCTACTTTTTGATCCCTCTAGTCTAGACCAGGGGTCTTCGAACGTGGCCCTTTTATGACTTGTGGACTTCAACTCCCAGAATTCAGCAGCCAGCATGCCTGGCTGAGGAATTCTGGGAGTTGAAGTCCACAAGTCATAAAAGGGCCAAGTTTGAAGACCCCTGGTCTAGACCAGGAGTCCCCCAATCCCCGGTCCTGGGCCGTGCAAGCGATGGGCAAGCACGCGCACCTTGCTGCATTTGTGCAAGCTGCGTGCAAGTGTGCGCATGAAACTTCATTCGCACAAGTGGCGTGTAAATGCGTGTGAAACCATCACCTCTTCTCTCCCCCCCATCCCCCTGCTGCTGGTCCAGCGAGCCAGAAACGCTGGGGACCCGCTGCTCTAAACAGACCTTCATTTATCCAATCTTGAAGAAATTTCCAGTTAGGGCGTGTGATTCCTATTTACAGGTGCCTTCAAGTTACGACTGCAATGGAGCCTGCCCGTTGGGGTCTTGTGTCACGACAGTCATAAAGGGAGTCATCACACGGCCAACCCAATTTTTGCAACCTTTTCTGTGGTCGTCGTTAGGTGGATTTGAGGTCGTTAAGCAAATCGACTGTTCGCTAGGGGCCGATTTTGTTGAAGTAAATGCCTGTTTTCACCAAAAACATCATAAAATGGGGTCAAGTGACCAGGGGACACCGCTTTTGGCTCTAAAACGCTGGCTGGTTGCTCAGCATCACGTGATTGCGGGGAGGGCATCAGAACCAAGCCATAATATAAGTATCTTTTGGGGGGTTCTGTTCTATCTTTGAATAGCCACTTAGGGCTTGGTCATAAATCAAGGACCATCTGTACTGTTGCTTCTTCTGAAAAAGGAAGAATAATATGTTACCCGGTTTGGTGCCACCATCTGCGCAAGACATCATACCGTTAACCAAGCTTAGACGTCTTTATTCATCCCTTTTTATAATGCTATAGTTTATGTCATCCTTTTACACGTTCTTATTTATTTTTAGATCTTATACTCACTGTTTTTCTGCGATTATGTACAGAAGTATGCAACAGTTCTATTATTGGATTTTTTAAAGGTCTGGCCTTATGGTGGCAAGAAACAGTGTTGACTTGATTTGATCTGAAGTAGGCAATCTGACCTTTGGAAACAAGTACAGGCCACACACAGGAGAAGAGGAGAAACACACTCACATGTGCACGTCATACCGGAAGTCCTTGACTTACAACTGTAATGGAGACGGCCCACCACAATCCCAACTTACGAAATCACATGACCAACCAGATTTTACGAGGATTTTTTGTGGTGGTCGTTAATCAAAGGCTATCGCCGATGAGAAAAACGATGGTTCATTATGGATTTCATGGAAGCTGAAAGGTACTACCAGATTGGGGCAAAACTGCCGTTAAAACGTGGTCATGTGAATGTCGGACACTGTCAATGGCCATAAAAGCAGTCCAGATGCCGAATGCCTGAAATTCAGTTGTGTGGCTGCGATGCGTGTGGGGACGTGCATGCGCACATATCTGTCAGAACTTCAAATCCAGGTCATCAGTAGCCCCCAGGTGGGTCTGTTGTAACTTTGAACAGTGGCTAAGCGTCATTTTTTCTTTCTTTCCACCTTTCCCAGCATCAATGCCTTTTCCAGAGAGCTGGGTCTTCACGTCATGCGTTCCAAAATAGGAGAGTTTGTCCCTTGGTCATTTGTGCCCTGAGTGAGAATCCTTAGCTGATTTGTTTGATGAGTCATTAGTTTGTTTTCTTGACTGTCCATGAGATTCTCAGGAGTCTTCTCCCACATCAAACTTTCAAACATGTTGTTTTTCTATTGTTTTCTTCTAAGTCCAACTTTTGCTTTAAGCTAGATTCTGCCTGTCAATATCCCACCTTTATTTTGTAAAACTCAAGATGGCAAGGATGTTTCTCCACTACAGCCTTATGAAATGGGTTGGGCTAAGACAGAGGGACTGGCTCAGGGGTAGGCAACCTTGGCTCTTTTATGACTCGTGGACTTCAACTCCCAGAATTCCTGAGCCAGCATAGCTCAGCTTGGAAACCTCTCCCTTTCCCCTCAGCATGGCTGGCTCAGGAATTCTGGGAGTTGAAGTCCACGAGTCATCAAAGAGCCAAGGTTGCCAGGAATTCTGGGAGTTGAAGTCCACGAGTCATAAAAGAGCCAAGGTTGCCAGGAATTCTGGGAGTTGAAGTCCACGAGTCATAAAAGAGCCAAAATTGCCTACCCCTGGACTAGCCCAAAGCCACCCAGCCAACTGCCATGCCTGAGAGATCAACCACTCATGGTCTTCCATGTCTAGCTCAGCATCTTCTCCATTACACTAAACAGGGAAAGAACATGAAAGAACATTCCTGCTTGGTTTCCTTGGAGGAAAGCACCACCTCCTCCAACACTGACAGAGGTTACTGCATATCAACAAGGAGCAAACCTCACACTCACTAGCACTGATGACATTACCTAGTCAGGTAATGAAACATTTGTAAGCAAGCAACCAGGTTCAGAGAGAACCAAGGACTCCACAGTTCATGAGCTACGGATATTCTCTTCTATTGGAGATCTGAACCTGTCAGATCCAATCAGTGTCTACGTCTGGGTGTCACATTTTGGGGACAATCTGGAAGAAGTTCAGAAAAGAGCCACAATGAGGCAGATCAAAGGACTAGAAGCAAGACTGAAGGAGCTGGAATGATTGAGAACCCAAAAGACCTCATGCTCCTGCTTTACAAGGCCTTGGTAAGGCCACACTTGGAATGCTGCATCCAGTTTTGGTCATCCCAGTGTAAAAAAGATATTGAGACTCTAGGAAGAGTACAGAGAAGAGCAACAAAGATGATTAGGGGACTGGAGGCTAAAACATGAAGAATGGCTGCTGAATTGGGTATGTCGAGTCTGATGCAAAGGAGGATTAGGAGTGACATGATAGCGGTCTTCCAATACCTAAGGGCAGTGATGGCGAACCTTTTAGAGACCAAGTGCCCAAACTGCAACCCAAAACCCACTTATGCATCGTCGAGTGCCGGGTGGGTGTGGCCATTGGGTGGGCGTGGCTGCGGTGGTAACAGCAGACTGGGTGGGACTAAAAAGTTCAATCAATCAATTCCAACTTTGCAAGATCTTTTTTTTCCCGCGAGAAGTTGAAATTGACTGATTGATTGAACCTTTTTTTTTTTTGTATACGGCGGCGGAGGCCGAAAGCGAAAAGGATTTATAAAATCCAGCTGAAGGCCTAGGACTGGGGCGACGGCATGAGTGCTCACAGAGAGGGCTCTGAGTGCCGCCTCTGGCACCCGTGGTATAGGGTCGCCAGCACTGCCTAAGGGGTTGCCAAAAGGAAGAAAGGGACAACCTATTTTCCAAAGCACCAAAAAGCAAGAAAAAAAGAAACAATGGAAAGAATTCAAGGAGAGAAGCAACCTAGAACTAATGAAAATATTCCTAACATTGAGAACACTACCTTCAGAAGTTGTGGGGGCTCCATCACTGGAGATTTTCAAGAAGAGACTGGACTGCCACTTGTCTTAAATGGTATAGGGACTCCTGCTTGAGCAGGGGGCTGGACTAGAAGACCTCC